CCAGGACCCGGGGCCGCTGTTTCTGCTGGGGCCCCAAACATGTCCAGTGTGATTTTACTTCCTGTGTTAGCACTTTGCCCGCCCGCCTGCGCTCTCTCCCTCCTCTCCTGAACTTCCATCTTGGTAGCTAATGCCTTTTTAGTGATCCGGGTTTGTACCTGTGAGTAGGATCATCACAGCACTGACTCGGAGGCCACACATGACATGCTTGCCATGTGCACGTGCACGTGATCCGTGTTTGTGAACTGTGTGTAGGATCATCACAGCACTGACAGAGGCCACACACGACACGCTTGCTGTGTGCACGTGATCCGTGTTTGTGAACTGTGTGTAGGATCATCACAGCACTGACACGGAGGCCACACAGGACACGCTTGCTGTGTGCACGTGATCCGTGTTTGTAACTGTGTGTAGGATCATCACAGCACTGACAGAGGCCACACACGACACGCTTGCTGTGTGCATGTGATCCGTGTCTGTAACTGTGTGTAGGATCATTGCAGCACTGATGGAGGCCACACACGACACGCTTGCTGTGTGCATGTGCACGTGATCCGTGTCTGTAACTGTGTGTAGGATCATCACAGCACTGACACGGAGGCCACACACGACACGCTTGCTGTGTGCACGTGCACGTGATCCGTGTTTGTAACTGTGTGTAGGATCATCACAGCACTGACAGAGGCCACACAGGACACGCTTGCTGTGTGCACGTGATCCGTGTCTGTAACTGTGTGTAGGATCATCGCAGCACTGATGGAGGCCACACACGACACGCTTGCTGTGTACACGTGATCCGTGTCTGTAATCCGTGTCGTGTAGGATCATCGCAGCACTGATGGAGGCCACACGGCACATTTGCGTGCGTGTGAATGTCCCCGGTGCTCCGTCACTGAGACTTGAAGTGATCGGTGGATCACTGGTCGTGATGAGCATCTGGAGTGATGTGGTGATTTGTGAACTTGGTTAGTGTCTGGGGTGCTGAGACTTGAACCATGCTGGATGTTTATTTGACTTAATTGAAGCAATGGAAGCTTTGCAGGAGGAGACCAGGCAAAGAGAAGACAGGTTACAGTGACCTAGCAGGCAGAAGTCCCACACTGGGACAAGGGACAAGGACGTCTCATCCCATTGTTCTTGGCAGGGAGTTGATAATACTGTCTGAAACTGAGACACACATTAACATGGCGATTCTGACCTTTACGTCTTCCCAGAATCATTCGTCTTTGAGGGACTGTCCCTTGGCGAAGACAGGACCAAGCTTAGCAGATCAGAAGGTGGGAACGTGCCCTTCCGGTCCCCTCCTGAGGAGCCCTGTGCAGGCCCCGTGGGCCGCAGCCTGACCGCCTCCGTGGCAGTTTCACTTGAATATTTCTTGTTCTCAAGTTCAGCTGTGTATTAAAATTTTTTAGAGCCGTATTCAGCATTTCATTGTGTTTGTGGTAGGGGGAAGGAACATTCCCGCGTGTTCTTTATACCACCTAGACTGGAAGTGATCTGACAGTTCAGTGTTACAGCGATCCAAACTAGAGAGTACCTATTACTGAGTATTAATACATGAAACAATTCATAACGAAGGTGTGCATTATACAGTGGTAACGCTGTATTTCTGCATCAGAAGACTTAATTGGTAAAGATATCAATTCTCCCTAAATTGGGTTCTTCCAATTAAAATTCCATTGTGGGGGCAGGGGCAGGCCTTGGCGTAGCTGGTGCAGCTGCTGCTTCCAGTGCCAGCACCCCATATCTGAGCACTGGTTTGAGGCCCGGCTGTTGCATTTGTGGTCCAGCTCCCTGGGAAGACAGTGGCATGTGGCCCATGTACTTGGACACCTGCCACTTACGTGGGAGACCAGGACGGAGGTCCCAGCTCCTGGCTTTTGCCTGGACCAGCCCTGGAAGTTGCAGCCATTTGAGGAGAGAACCAGCGGATGGCAGGTCTCCCCCCACCTCTCTGTCACTCTTTCAGATAGATGGATCGATCGATTGATCAAAAAAAAAAAAAAAAAAAGTCAATGGAATTTCCAGGAAGGGTGAAGTTGCACAGAAAGGGTCTTGAGAAAGGAAGGTAGATGATGAAGGTAGAGCAGGCGAGTGGGTCTGTGGAGGGCAGTGTGTGCCGTCTTTGACGCGGTAAAGCCGAGCTTTCGCGCCAGCGGGCAAGGAGGGAGGGAGGGAGGGAGAGTTCCGAGGCGCTGTGGAGGGCAGGTGTTTGGCCTGGCAGCTGAGATGCCTGTGGCCTGTCTTGGAGTCCCTGGGTCTAGTGCTGGCCTCCTGCGACGTGCACCCTAGGGTCAGCAGGTGATGGCTCAACTGCTTGGGTCCCTGCCATTGCATGTGGGAGACCTGGAGCGAGTTCCTGGCTTCTGGCTTTGGCCTGGCCCAGCCCTGGCCTTGAGGGCCTTTGGGGAGTGAATCACTGGATGGGAGCTCTCTCTTGTGGGAAGCAACTGGGAGCAACTTGGACTAGACTAAGTTACTGGAATTAAGACTTATTCTATGCATCTGCTCTCCCACGATATGGTGCTGAGAAGGGAGAAACAGCTTCTACGCAGCTGCCTCCAGTTCAACCAATAAACTGTAGGACCTGCTCCTGATTGGAGGAGAGCAGCGTACTCGGCGTGTGGGTAGCAGATTTGGGATTGGTGGAAGAGGACTATAAAGGAGGAGAGAGACAACATGCACCAGGAACATCTAAGGGGAACATCTATCTGAAGGAACACCTGTGTAGCCCCCGAGAGAGCCGGCCGGCGGTGTACCGCTCCCCCGCAGAAGTGGGGAATGTGGCAGGGGGAACCGCCCTTCCACGGAGGTGGAAGGGACAGTAGCCAACCCGGAAAGAACCAGCAGCAAACCCGGGGAGGGCCGAGCAGATGAAAGAACAGTGCAGGGTCCTGTGTCGTTCCTCCACGAAGACGGGGAGCGACATCTCTGTCTTTGTTTCTTTGCTTCTCAAGTTAAAAAATCAAAAATATTTTTTTAAAAAGTGCTATTTAGATAATTGACTATTTGGGGTGGGGAAGACAAATATAGTCACATCCCTCTTTCACATCACAAGTAAAAATAGGTTCCAGGTAGAGGAAATAATCTAATTATTTAAAAAAAATTATTGGAGTACTGTTTTCAGATGTTCAGGCTAGTCTCTTTAATTTTTTTTTTTTTCTAAGTTGAGAGAGGGATGAACAGCTTCCATCTCCTCGGATGCCTGCAGCAGCTGGGGCCGGACTGGGAGCTCCGTCCAGGTCTCCCGTGTGATTTGCAGGAGCCCGGTTACTGCAGCCGTAACCACTGCCCGCCACGCTCTGCATCAGCGGGAAGCAGAGTCAGGAGCTGGAGCTGAGTGTGGAACTCGCGTACTTTGTGATGGGACGCGGGTGTCTAACTGGGGTCTTAACCACTAGAACAAGCCTGCGATCCAGAAACCATAGAGGAAGACTGGCAGGTTAACTACATTGTTAGAACTTTTGCACTATAACTCAAGTTAAAAGCCGACCAAAAGGGGCCGACGCTGTGGCATACATAGCAGGTAAAGCAACTGCCTGTGGTGCCGTCATCCCAAACATCCTGTGGCGCCGGCTCGAGTTCTGGCTGCTCCACTTCAGATCCAGCTCCCTGCTAATGCTCCTGAGAAAGCAGCAGCAGATGGCTCAAGTGCCTGACCCCTGCACCTGTGTGGGAGACCTGCTGATGCTCCAGCTCCTGGCTTCAGCCTGGCCCAGAGCGGGCTGATGCAGCCATCTGGGGAGTGAACCAGTAGATGGAAGGTCCCCCCCCCCCCCTTTCCTTAACTCTGCCTTTCAAACAAATAAATAAATCAAAAAAAAAAAAAAAAAAGCCAGCCAAATGACAGAAATGTCTACTGTATGTAACAAAAGTAATGTGTAAAGAGACTTCTGACCAAAAAGCAAACAGCAGAAGCATGAACAGCAGGAGTGAACAGTCTTCAGGAAACGAAATAGCATTGGCTAATGCAGAAAGTTGCTTATCCTAACAGTGAGACTTGGGCGAGTGTTCATCTGGGAGATGTGCCTCGTGATGGCGACGTCGTGCTGGAAGGGCGCGAGCTGTGTTCACCTGGGGTTGGAGAACACGCACCCCACAGCACCCTGGCCAGAGTTCCGTGTGTAAAGTACATGGCGTCCTCAGCTTGGTAGTATCGGCCAGAACTTAGTGACCCCTCCCCTCGACCGAGTGGGTCTGTCTTCGGGGATCCATAGGAACACTAGCGTATGTGTGAGGGTTATGCACACGGCTGTTTATCCAGTGAAAACGGAAATGCTGCGTGTTCATCAGTAGAGGAATACATACAAGTTTTCGCATATGCACAAGATGGAATGCTGTGAGGAGCAGATGCTGCTGTGGGCACAGGCCCTGGAATCTGTTCCTGGCTTTGAGTTCTGGATCCGTCACACACTAGATGCGTGACTTAGGCTTGCGTGCTTCCTCTGGGTCTCCTTGTCCTCATCTATGGAATGGAGATGCTTCATGTCTTTCAGAGGTCGTTGCCATCCTGAGTGAACTGAAGCGTGTAGAGTAGTTCTTAGGACATCAGCACCGGTAGTAGCGGCTGATGCCAGATTGTCGTTTGCAGTTACGAGAGTGACGTACACCCGTCACCTTCTAGCCGGGGAGACCATGCCTCAAGTGAACACACTCTAGATTAGTGTGCTCGTCTGTGAATGCAGTTCAGAGTGGGGCACGTGCGTGTGTCTCAGTGGTCACAGTGGTCACCTCTAGGGAGTGAGGCTGAGGGGTGGGATGGTCAATTTTCTAAAGAACTTTTTTGGTATTTAGTATTTTTTAACACTGATTATCTTTGTGATTTAAATTTCTTAAAGATTCCACAGACTGAAGATAGTACAACTTCTGAGTATCCTCCTGTGTGTGTGTGTGTGTGTGTGTGTGTGTATGTGTGTGTGTGTTTAAGCTGAACAGGTCGTGGGTTTAGAGGGTGTGTTTTGCCTGATTTTCCGGGGTCACTTACTGAAGTGTCCTTGCAGGAACACGCTTACCCAGCGGATGAACTCATGCCTTTGACCTGCAGAGGTCGGGTGAGAGGCCAGGAGCCCAGTCGAGGGGACGTTGATGACGCCTTGGGAAAGTGAGTATTGCCACAGGCGTGGGGCCGTCAGAGGACCCGCGTCAGCCTCTGCAGGCCGTTCACAAGCACGTTTCTGGGGGACTGGCCACCGTTTAAAGACTGCTTCCAGTTTAACGTTGAGCTGCTTTATTCTTTTCTGACATCTTGTTTTGTAAAATATTCATTAGTTTATTCCTTAGAGAAAAATTAGTAAAAATGGATGTCACTTTTAAAATCCTTTCACTTTCAGGTAACTTCAGAAATGCGGATAAAGTCATGGACACATTGGAAGGTGTTGAGGATTCACTGTTGTCGTTTATTTTGAGACGACTGAGATGCACAGGCCGTGGGGGCTTCTCTCCTGCAGGGCCTGGAAGCCGGCTCATGGTTGAGCCAGCAGGGCTGCGGGCTGCCCTGCCTTCCTGGGCGCCACCCTTGGAATTCTCACGTGACCGTCTCTTTGTCTTCTTCCTCAGGTTTTCTCTGACACTGATTGATTCTTTGGACACTCTCGTGGTAGGTTTGTTTCTTCTTGGATTTACCTGTTTTGTAAATTTCATAATGCAGATTTGCAAGTACTATGAATATAATTGTAGCACAGCATGAAGTAGAAGCCTTTGGCATTTAGTGTGTTCTGATTTTCACTTCTAAATACATCTTTCACACTGTCGCGTTATGGTGTCACGTGGTATTAGGTAGAATGGTGTCTTTCACACTGCCGTGTTATGGTGTCACGTGGTACTAGGTAGAATGGTGTCTTTCACACTGTTGCGTTATGGTGTCACGTGATATTAGGTAGAATGGTGTCTTTTACACTGCCGTGTTATGGTGTCACATGGTACTAGGTAGAATGGTGTCTTTCACACTGCCGTGTTATGGTGTCACGTGGTATCAGGTAGAATGGGGGAGATACCCAGATACTTTGAGATTTCAGCTCATGTGATGCGCCTTAGTCAGAAAGGTCTGTTTTTCTTTGGATAGGAGGTTGAAGCTGTTGAAACAAAGTAATTTTAGAAAATGAAATTGATATTCTCCTCCCATAAATATTTGGTACAATGATGTTAAAATTCTTAAATTAGAATCTTCATGTGCTGTATCGGTAAACAAAAATTTACTTTTCTCAGTAGTGGTGTTTGTTGTTGTTGTTGTTTTTTTTTAAGAAAGCTTTTATTTAATGAATGCAAATTTCATAGGTACAGCTTCCAGGAATATAGTGGTTCTTCCCCCATAGACACCCTCCCACCCCTTACCCCCGTCCCACCTCTTACTCCCTGTCCCATCCCATTCTTCATTAAGAGTCATTTTTAATTATCTTTATATACAGAAGACCAACTCTGTTAAGTAAAGATTTCCACAGTATGTACCCACACAGACACACAAAGTATAAAGTACAGTTTGAAGACGAGTTTCACCGTTAATTCTCATAGTACAGCTCATTAAGGACAGAGCTCCTACATGGGGAGTGAGTGCACAGTGACTCCTGTTGATTTAACAACTGACACTCTTATTTATCAGTAATCATCAGTAATCACCCGACTCTCTTGTCATGAGCTGCCAAGGCTATGGAAGCCTCTTGAGTTCGCCAACTCCGACCTTATTTAGACAAGGCCATAGTCAAAGTGGAAGTTCTCTCCTCCCTTCAGGGAAAGGTACCTCCTTCTTTGATGGCCCCTTCTTTCCACTGGGATCTCACGCACAGAGATCAATCTTGTAGATCCTTTTTTTTTGCCACAGTGTCTTGGCTTTCCATGCCTGAAATTCTTTCATGGGATTTTCAGCCATATCCGAAAGCCTTGAGGGCTGATTCTGAGGCCAGAGCTCAGCAGTGGTTTTTAGCACCACCTGATCACCTCCTGGCCTTCCTTTTCAACCTCATGTGGTACAAAAGTCACTTGGACTCTGTTCATGATGGCAGAGAAGAAAGGTTGGGTTCCAGGCGTCATGATCTCTCACTACAGTGTCTTGCGGCTTCGCTCTAGCGTCCTGAGAGCAGGCGTGCTCAGGGATCCTCCTTAAGGAGGATTTCTCGTCGTTAACAGCGCAGGGCTGATTGCTGTATCCAGAACAGAGCGGAAAGCCTTCGAGGTTGCAGCATTTCTGCAGCCAGGCAAGATTTTTGTCTGTGTGCTGTTTCTCCTTCTCTCACGGGGCGTTTCTTTGAGAACAGAGATTTCCACTGCTAATCGCAGCTTGGGAAGATCACCTGCATTGTTTAAAAAAAAACCCACCCAAGTGATTCTGGAGTGAGCCTGGGATTATTGTCATTCTCCTGAAGCCTCTCTTTGGATGGAAAATGCAGCCCTGGCTGAGAAAGCCATGAGTGTTTGCATCATTTATTTATTCATGTGTTTGAGAAGCATGAGAGAGAAGGAGTTGACTCCACAGATGCCCACGGCAGCTGGGAGCAGGGACTCAATCCAGACCTCCGACATGAGTGGCAGGAGCCCCATACTCGAGCTGTAGCCACAGCCAGCAACGGCGTGCATCAGTAGGAAGTCAGAGTCGGGAACTAGAACCAGATATGGACCGCAGGGCTCTGATGTAATGGCAGCTGTCGCAACCAGGGTCTCAGCTAGCGGGCTGCATGCTGCCTGGGTGTCACACCTCACCCTGAGTCACAGTTTGAAGTTCACAGCGTCATTTTTAGAGATTAATGACATATACAAACTATACTGTAGCAACTGAGAAAGAGATGATAGTGTATATCTGTGTTTTGGTTTAGTGGTCGTAGGTTTTCTGCATATGGTAAGAGAAGAGAAAGATACACAAAATATCCCAGAAGACACAGGTTATCAGTGAGGGAGGAACTGTGTTATTTGTTTCTTTTTTTTTCTTAACTTCTTAGTGATTTTTTTTTTTTTTTTTGACAGGCAGAGTGGACAGTGAGAGAGAGACAGAGAGGAAGGTCTTCCTTTTTCCGTTGGTTCACCCCCCAGTGGCCGCTGCGGCCGGCACACCATGCTGATCTGAAGCCAGGAGCCAGGTGCTTCTCCTGGTCTCCCATGCAGGTGCAGGGCCCAAGCACTTGGACCATCCTCCACTGCCCTCCCGGGCTACAGCAGAGAGCTGGCCTGGAAGAGGAGCAACCGGGACAGAATCCGGCACCCCAACTGGGACTAGAACCCAGTGTGCCAGCGCCGCAGGTGGAGGATTAGCCTAGTGAGCTGTGGTGCCGGCCTAGTGATTTATTTTAAAATGATTTATTTATTTATTTGAAAAGTAGAGTGAAGGGCCGGCACTGTGGCATAGCGGGTAAAACTGCCACCTGCAATGCTGGCATCCCATATGGGTGCTGGTTTGAGTCCTGGCTGCTCCATTTCCGATCCAGCTCTCTGCTGTGACCTGGGAAAGAAGTAGAAGGTGTCCCAAGTCCTTGGGCCCCTGCACCCACATGGGAGATCTGGAAGAAGCTCCTGGCTTCAGATCGGCACAGCTATGGCCGTTGTGGCCAATTGGGGAGTGAACCATCAGATGGAAGACCTCTCTCTCTCTCTCTTTCTCTCTCTCTCTGCCTCTCCTTCTCTCTCCGTGTAACTCTGACTTTGAAATAAATAAGCTTAAAAAAAAAAGAGTGAACAGGGAGATGGGGGAGAGAGAGAGAGAGAGGGATCTTCTATGCACTGCTTCACTCCTCAGATGGCCACAACAGCCAGGACTGGGCCAGGCTGAAGCCAGGAGCCTTCAACCCTGCAACTCCATCCTGGTCTCCAGCGTGGGTGGAGGGCCCACACTTGGACCGAGTCAGCTGCCTTCCCAGCCACATTAGCAGGAGGCGGGGTCAGAAGAGGAGGGGCTGGGCTGTGAGCCTGTGCTGTGATGTAACAGGAGGAGGGTCAGAAGTGGAGGGGCTGGACTGTGAGCCTGTGCTGTGATGTAGCAGGAGGCGGGTCAGAAGTGGAGAGGCTGGGCTGTGAGCCTGTGCTGTGATGTAGCAGGAGGCGGGGTCAGAAGTGGAGGAGCTGGGCTGTGAGCCTGTGCTGTGATGTAGCAGGAGGCGGGGTCAGAAGTGGAGGGGCTGGGCTGTGAGCCTGTGCTCTGGTGTAGCAGGAGGAGGGTCAGAAGAGGAGGGGCTGGGCTGTGAGCCTGTGCTCTGGTGTTGCAGGAGGCGGGGTCAGAAGTGGAGGGGCTGGGCTGTGAGCCTGTGCTCTGGTGTTGCAGGAGGCGGGTCAGAAGTGGAGGAGCTGGGCTGTGAGCCTGTGCTGTGATGTAACAGGAGGCGGGTCAGAAGTGGAGGGGCTGGGATGTGAGCCTGTGCTCTGATGTAGCAGGAGGCGGGGTCACAAGTGGAGGGGCTGGGCTGTGAACCTGTGCTCTGATGTAGCAGGAGGCGGGTCAGAAGTGGAGGGGCTGGGATGTGAGCCTGTGCTGTGATGTAGCAGGAGGCGGGTCAGAAGTGGAGGGGCTGGGATGTGAACCTGTGCTCTGGTCTAGCAGGAGGAGGGTCAGAAGTGGAGGGGCTGGGCTGTGAGCCTGTGCTCTGATGTAGCAGGAGGCGGGGTCAGAAGTGGAGGGGCTGGGCTGTGAGCCTGTGCTCTGATGTAGCAGGAGGCGGGTCAGAAGTGGAGGGGCTGGGATGTGAGCCTGTGCTCTGATGTAGCAGGAGGCGGGGTCAGAAGTGGAGGGGCTGGGCTGTGAGCCTGTGCTCTGGTGTAGCAGGAGGCGGGTCAGAAGTGGAGGGGCTGGGCTGTGAGCCTGTGCTCTGATGTAGCAGGAGGCGGGGTCAGAAGTGGAGGGGCTGGGATGTGAACCTGTGCTCTGGTGTAGCAGGAGGAGGGTCAGAAGTGGAGGGGCTGGGCTGTGAGCCTGTGCTCTGGTGTTGCAGGAGGCGGGGTAATCTGCTGCACTGGGGCCGGTCAGTGTGTTTGTGGCGGTAGCTGGGTTATGTCCACCAGGTCGGTGGTGGTGTAGGGGAGTCTGGGGCAGGAAAGGCCACAGGTATACTTAACTTTGTCGTTCATTCTGTCATCTTTTATTTTTCCACATAGTAAGTCTGCCATTATTTCTCTGTATTTCATAGTTGATTTTCACAAACATGGACCTCAGATATCATGTGTGTGATTTTTTTTTTTAAGATTTTATTTATTTGGGCCAGCGCCGAGGCTCACTTGGCTAATCCTCCATCTGCGGCGCTGGCACCCTGGGTTCTAGTCCCAGCTGGGGCTCCGGGTACTAGTCCCGGTTGCTCCTCTTCCAGGCCAGCTCTCTGCTGTGGCCTGGAAGGGCATCAGAGGATGGCCCAAGTGCTTGGGTCCCTGCACCTGCATGGAAGACCAGGAGGAAGTACCCGGCTCCTGGCTTTGGATCGTTGTAGCGCCTGCCATAGCGGCCATTTGAGGGGTGAACCAACGGAAGGAAGACCTTTCTCTCTGTCTCTCTCTCTCACTGTCTTCACTGTCTAACTCTGCCTGGCAAAAAAAAAAAAAAAAAATTATTTATTTGAAAGGTAAAGTTACACACACACACACACACACACACACACAGAGATCTGTCTGCTGGTTCACTCCTCAAATGACTGTAACAGCTGGGGCTGGGTCAGGCTGAAGCCAGGAGCCAGAAGCTTCTTCCAGGTCTCCCGCACAGGTGCAGGGCCCCAAGGACTTGGGCCATCCTCTGCTACTTTCCCAGGTGCATTAGCAGAGAGCTGGATCAGAAGTGGAGCAGCCAAGACTCAAACTGGCGTCCGCGTGGGATGCTGCCACTGTAGGCAGCAGCAGAGGTGGCTTAACCCGCTACGCCACAACACTGGCCCGAGTATGTGTTTTTTAAAATGTTAGAAATGAAGGAGAAAGAATAGTTCCCGGCTTGCTAACTCCTGCATTCAGAGGTCTAACTGGGCAGTCGTTGGTTATTATGAAGGCTCCCTCCTCAGGCTGTAGCAGTTACAAAGCATGGCGAGGGCTTCCCAGTAAGATCGCTGGCCTGGCAGCCCTAGCATCTCCTGGGAACTTGGTGGCAGCACAGATTCCTGACCGTGTCCCAGAGCATCAGAAATCCAGGAGAGAGGTGCTCTGAGTGGGGTTTCTGCAGCTTCCAGGTGACCTGATGTGTGCTGATATGCTGAACTACTGCGTGGGACGCTCGGGTGTTCCACGGGTTTCCTTGCTGACATGCGGATTCTGATGCGGAGGCTCCAAGGTGGGGGTCCAGAGCCCGCATTCCTGATGACTGCCTGATGGTGCCCGGTTGGAGTTCTGGCTCCTGACCCCAGGGAGTACAAGAAGTGATTTCGTGAAATTGATAGGTGTGACCTTGGCCAAATGATTTGACTTCTCTGGGTCCCTGTTTTCAGAGAGCCTTGAGTATTTATTTGAAAGAGCAACAAAGAGAAGGAAAGAGATCTTCCATCTTCTGGTTCCCTCCCCATCTGGTCCCAGAGTCAGGACTGGGTTGGACAGGAGCCAGCTGGTTGGACAGAACTCCTTCGTGGTCTCCCAGATGGGTGGCAGGAATCTAAGCACTTGGGCCGATCTCTGCCGCCTTCCCAGGGGCGTTAGCAGGAAGCTGGACCTGAAGTTAGCAGCTGGAACTGGAAGCAGCGCTCTGGTACGGACGCTGGTGTCACCCCTGCTTGAAATTCGCACTGTCCTGAGCTTCGTCCTGTTTTCTCTTGCCTGTAATGGAACAAAGCACTAGAACCTGGAGCTTACCTTTAAATACAGTAATGCCGTGAAATCTGTAGGAAAAAATGGAAACAAAGGTAGAGGGGAAGGAGTGCGACCCTATTCATGTTTCTGCCGAGGAGGTGGAGCCGTTGGAGGGGATGTTCTGGCTAACTGTGGACAAGGGGGTCTCCGGCCACTTTGATTTTCCTGGGGTGCTGAGGTGGACAGATGGTGTTGTGCTGTTGTTTCATTTGGAGAGAAGGGAGGGAAGGTATTGTTCGGTTAGGCAGGCAGTTCAGACCTTTAAACCTGTGGGGAAGTCTGGCTTCCAGCCCGCGATTCAGCAGGGAGACGTTCCCAGGAGACGGACCCAGAGAAGGAGGGCACAGATGAAGGGACGCTGAAGAGCAGTGTGGGGCAGCGGGACAGCTGTGCCCTGCCTGGCCGGCCGTGTGCCTCTGACACTGAGAGGAGAGTGGGCAGTGTGAGATCACATTTCATCTGATACTTACTTAGGACTTTCCCTAAATTTGACTTCTACTGTATTTCAGGCAGATACTCTTTAAAAAAAAAAAAAAAGATTTATTTATTTATTTGAAGGCAGAGTTACAGAGAGGCAGAGGCAGAGAAAGAGAGAGAGAGGTCTTCCATCCACTGGTTCACCCCCCAGATGGCTGCAACAGCTGGAGCTGTGCTGATCTGAAGCCAGGAGCCAGGAGCTTCCCCCAGGTCTCCCACGTGGGTGCAGAGGCCCAAGGACCTGGGCCATCTTCTGCTGCTTTCCCAGGCCATAGCAGAGAGCTGGATCGGAAGTGGAGCAGCCGGGACTAGAACTGGCACCCACATGGGATGCTGGCACTGCAGGCAGTGGCTTTACCCACTATGCCACAGTGCTGGCCCCAGCAGATACTCTTATGTAATGTTTTATACCAAATTTGAATTTTCAGTGGAAATACTCCATAAAAATCACTGCAAAACATTATCAGAAGGTCAGACGGTCAAGTTGAGGAAAACTGTCGAGGCCTGCATGCCGGTCCCTTCATGGGGCCCATTGCAGGGCTGCAGAGTTGGGTCAGGACACCTCACGTGACAGGAGTGCCACCGCGCTCCGCCAGGTCTGGACGCACACGGGCTCTTCTGAGAGCTCGGCGCTCTGAGATGAGGAGCTTCTGCTCTGTAGATGGGGGGACAGGCCGCGAGGGCAGTGACAGGGCCTGGGCCGGGCAGTGAGGAGAGGGCAGTGAGGGGCCTGGGCCGGGCAGTGAAGAGAGGGCAGTGAGGGGCCCGGGCCAGGCAGTGAGGAGAGGGCAGTGACGGGCCCGGGCCGGGCAGTGAGGAGAGGGCAGTGAGGGGCCCGGGCCGGGCAGTGAGGAGAGGGCAGTGACGGGCCCGGGCCGGGCAGTGAGGAGAGGGCAGTGACGGGCCCGGGCCGGGCAGTGAGGAGAGGGCAGTGACGGGCCCGGGCCGGGCAGTGAGGAGAGGGCAGTGAGGGGCCCGGGCCGGGCAGTGAGGAGAGGGCAGTGAGGGGCCCGGGCCGGGCAGTGAGGAGAGGGCAGTGAGGGGCCTGGGCCGGGCAGTGAGGAGAGGGCAGTGAGGGGCCTGGGCCGGGCAGTGAGTGGAGGCAGCAGAGGTCCGTCAGGGCCTGTTCTGGACCCCTGCCTTGTGCTCCCTCCTCGGGTACTGCAAGGACGTCCTTGGCAGGTGTGGGGTCAGGGTCAGTTGGTCACTCCCTGAGCAAAGTACTTGCTCAGGCAGAAGCCGTTCGGGATGGTGTTTTGCTTTGTCTCCCAGTGGAGTCACCTCATGAGCTCTGTGTTAGAGGCTGTGTACAGGTTGCTTGGGTAGATTTGTGAATCTTTTGGGTTTTGGGGCATTTGCATGGGCTTCCCTGATGCAGAAACCGGACATGCTCTGAGCTCCAGCGCTTTGCGGTGGTGCCATGTGACGTCCAGAGCTCAGTTTCAGACTCCGGAACAGGAGTCTGATGACGCTGCAGAGCATCTGAAAGGGGCACACAGGGACCGGTGTTGCGGCGCGGCAGGTGGAGCCGCTGCCGGCCAGGCCGGCGTCCATAGCAGCGTGCTGCCTTGGGTCTCCGCTACACCCGCTCCCATCCAGCTCCCATCCAGCTCCCTGCTGCTGCTCACCTGGCGGCAGTGCATGATGGCCGAAGAAAAGGGGGCCTGCGTGCACGTAGGAGGCCTAGGTGGAGCTCCTGGCCTCCCCGTGGCCCTGCCCTGGCTGTGGCGGCCATTTAGGCAGTGAACCAGTGGAAGGAAGGTCTCTCTGTTTCTCCCTTACTCTGTCCCTCTGTCTTCCACATAATAAGTCTTCAAAAACAAAATAAGAGTATCACCATGCTGAATGATATCATTAGGTATTTGGTTTTTGTAGCTTTGGACGTTTCCACAGTTTTATACTTGCGTACTTAAGGAATGTTTTGTGTGGGGCCACTGTTTAAAGTATACAGAGTTGCTATTAGCCGCTCATTCTGAGGATATTTACCCTTGATTTGGTAGAAAAGAACTTTATTTCATAATTTTCTTCTCTTAGGTATTAAATAAAACAAAAGAATTTGAAGATGCAGTGAGAAAAGTTTTAAGAGATGTTAATTTAGATAATGACGTAGTTGTATCCGTCTTCGAAACGAACATCAGAGTTCTTGGGTAAGTGAATCCCGACGCTGCCGTTTCAATGACAGAGGAGGTTGGAGTGTGCTGCTCATTTCTTGATGGGAATGAAGAAGGTGAGAAGATCCAGGCTGGGGTGTGACGGCAGCGGGAGCTGTGGGCTGGCCTGGTGCTGTGTTGTCATCGCAGCCGGCTTCTGAAGTCCGTGTGGACTGAAGCCGGGGGGAGTCCTGTCGCATCGTCAGGACACAGGGTTCTTGAGCTGCACGGCTCAGTGAAGCACCTCTGAAGAGAAGCCGGACGAAACTGAGTTTATAGGGTTGTCGCTCCATGAAACCGTGCGAAATGTTTTTGAGATGTTAAGAAATCTGAAATGATAGGATTTATTAATTCAGGTTTCGGCATCATTAATTTTTGCATTTAATTGTTAATTTGTGTTGTTATAACTTGTTTGCTTTTGTTAAAGTGAGTCTTCAGTTAAGTGCAAGAAATGGGTAATGCTGCCTTTCACAGGGATTGCTAATGTATGAACACCCAACACATTGAAAATTTTATGAAAACTAAAATGCTAAGCTAAGAGTTAAGGATGTCATAAAAATAAACTATAAATTCAAAGTTTGTTAAAGTTAATCACATTTGTGCTATTCGGATGTTCTTTGTTGTAAGCAAAGTTAACAGTGCCCTGTGCTGGGTGTTCCCAGCACGTGGCACCTGTGCTCACAGCCTGTGTGGCCACAGAACGAGGGGCCAGGGTGATACACACAACTGGTTCTGCTGTAGTCTTCCCTCGCGTATGCAAAGCTGTTGGCACGAAGATACCCCAGAAGCTCCGGTGGTGTCTGTGCTGTAGATAACGCTCGTCTCTGACCGCAGGGGCCTGCTCGGGGGCCACTCGCTGGCCATCATGCTGAGAGAGAAGGGCGAGCACATGCAGTGGTACAGTGACGAGCTCCTGCAGATGGCAAAGCAGCTGGGCTACAAGCTTCTGCCGGCCTTCAATACCACCAGCGGCCTCCCTTACCCCAGGGTGAGTGACTGAAGACTCCCACCGCCTTCCTCCTCTTCTCTTGCATGGGTTTGGTGATCGGAGACCATGTTCCTCAAGCCGTAGAACTAATGTGTATTAACATTTCAGTCAAGTTAGGTTTGAGTGATGTAGAATAAGATTAGCTGAGGATTCCGCGTGTCCTTGCTAACAGATTAGGTGGTGCTGCAGCGGGAAGCAGCAGGCCCCGCCTAGAAAGGGGGCACAGGTCGTTTGGGCAGAAAATGCAGCTGGAGCCGTGGCTGCAGCAGGCTGGGACTCCCTCCCAGACGGCAGGTGTGCTGTGCGCGGCACAGAGGGAGCCGCCCAGGGTGTGCCCCACATTTCACGTGCCGGACGGAGAGTCTCCCGAAGCAGGAGGTGTTGTAGCAGACTCCAGGAGAACTGGCTGCAGGATGTGGGTGTTTGTGGGGGGAGGGGGGACAGGGAAGAGTGGTGATGAAGGCCCCTCCTCTTGGGGTTTCTTCTCTGCTGAGAGGTAGGGGGGTGGCTGCAGGGTCAGTGGTAGGAGCTGACCCTGAAGATCTTGGAACTGAAGTACCCAGAAAGGAGCTGTGGAGGCCGAGAGCGCGCTGTCCCCCGGTGCACACCTCTGCTCAGGGTCCTGCTGCCTCCGCCCAGTCACCACGGGCTGTGGAGGCCGAGAGCGCGCTGTCCCCCGGTGCACACCTCTGCTCGGGGTCCTGCTGCCTCCGCCCAGTCACCACGGGCTGTGGAGGCTGAGAGCGCGCTGTCCCCCGGTGCACACCTCTGCTCGGGGTCCTGCTGCCTCCGCCCAGTCACCACGGGCTGTGGAGGCCGAGAGCGCGCTGTCCCCCGGTGCACACCTCTGCTCAGGGTCCTGCTGCCTCTGCCCAGTCACCACGGGCGCCGCCCGGCCCGGCTCTGTTTTCTCACTTGTGCTGTGCTTTTGAGGCTGATAGAATTCTGTTCCTAAACTACTCCGCATGCCGCTTGTATTCATTCCTTTCCAGTTCCCAGAAAGAGAACTACTACTACTAGAATATAATTTTTATCGCATTACCTTCAGAAGTTCTGAGTCTCCCTGTTGTACCGAGTGTCTAACATTTGGAATCTGTCACGGTTTGCCAGTCGGCTTCCTGACACTCACTGCCGTTCCAGCCACACCCTCCAGTGTCCTCCCTCCGGACCTGTGGGCTGGCACCGTGGGCCAGCACCCGTGGGCTGTCCCTCCCTCTGTGGACAGGCTGTCCTCGCTGTCCTTCCCTGAGGGACAGCACCAGGCACGCAGTGCTGTCCAGCGGCGAGTTAGTGCATGTGTTTTCCTTTTTAATGGAGCAGACTATAATTAAATCTCTTAGTTACATTTCCCACTTTTAATATTTTAAATGATTCTCCTGTGAACATTCTTGGAGACATTGTTTTAAAAAAGATTTATTTATTTATTTGAAACTTAGAGTTACAAAGAGAGGAGAGACAGAGGGAGAGGTCTTCCACCTGCTGGTTCACTCCCCTGATGGCTGTAACGGCCAGGACTGGGCCAAAGAGGAGCTTCTTCTGGGTCTCCCACAAGGGTGGCAGGGGCCCAACCACATGGCGCATCTGCTGCCGCTTTTCCCAGGCCCTCAGCAGGGAGCTGGACTGGGAAGTGGAGCAGCTGGGACTCGAACCAGAGCCCGTGTGGGATGCTGGCACTGCAGATGGGGCTTTACCCACTGCTCCGCAGTGCTGCCCCTACACAGACCTTTCTACATTTTGCTTGTTTTCTGTTTAGGCTGAGTGTCTAGGAGAGGACATGAGCCATGTGGTTAGACCGCAGCCAGCACTGTACATTGTCATTCCTTTGCCATATTAACTCTGAGCGGAGGTGCTGTGAGCGCCTTGTTCCCACGAGGCCTGCGGAGCACGTCCAGCCCTTTGCCGTGCACCCAGGAGTACCGCTGCTGTCCAGGGACGTGTGTTTGGCAGTCTCTCAGATACACATGCATCCTCGGTAGTATTAGCACCAGTGTTTTTAGCTCTGTTTGCTGGACAGAAATGCTTTTGTAAGAGTTACTGGTCATTTTTTTATTCCATTTTTTTTTTTTTTGACAGGCAGAGTGGACAGTGAGAGAGACAGAGAGAAAGGTCTTCCTTTGCCGTTGGTTCACCCTCCAATGGCCGCCGCGGCCGGCGCACCGCGCTGATCCAAAGGCAGGAGCCAGGTGCTTCTCCTGGTCTCCCATGGGGTGCAGGGCCCAAGGACCTGGGCCATCCTCCACTGCACTCCCGGGCCACAGCAGAGAGCTGGCCTGGAAGAGGGGCAACCGGGACAGAATCCGGCGCCCCGACCGGGACTAGAACCCGGTGTGCCAGCGCCGCAGGCGGACATGGCACTGGCCTTTTTATTCCATTTTTAAAAAGATTTATTGTTTGGAAAGGCAGAGTGACAGAGGCACAGTGAGAGAATATCTGCCGCGTGCGGGTTCACGTCGCCAGATGCTCACACCAGCCAGCGCTGGGCCACGCTGAACCCAGGAGCCAGGAACTCCGCCCGGCTCTCCCCGTGGACGAGGACCCCAGTCCTCGGGCCCTCGTCTCCTGGCAGGCACATTAGCAGGGACCCCAGTCCTCGGGCCCTCGTCTCCTGGCAGGCACATTAGCAGGGACCCCAGTCCTCGGGCCCTCGTCCCTTGGCAGGCACATTAGCAGGGACCCCAGTCCTCAGGCCCTCGTCTCCTGGCAGGCACATTAGCAGGGACCCCAGTCCTCCGGCCCTCGTCCCTTGGCAGGCACATGAGCAGGGACCCCAGTCCTGGGGCCCTCGGCAGTCCCTTGGCAGGCACATTAGCAGGAGGCGGGGTCAGAAGTGGGGGAGGCACTCTGGATTGTGCTCCTCCCAGACAGCTGCGTAGCATGGCAGCACAGTGCCTGCCCTGATGGCCGCTTTTCAAACTCGCAAATTAGCCCGTACCTCATCCACACGCTGTCTTCTTAAAGTTACAGCCACAGAATATAGGGATTTTCGCACATTTTAAGGGTTTTTCACTGTAACAAATAATGCCGATAAATTTAGCGTAGGTGTTTGTTACTCCTACCCTCTAATACAAGGGGCTCCATTTGAAAACCATGTTGTGGCGGTGGAACACGGGACCTTCCTGATATGTCGTCCCCGCTGTCCTGAGGCTTGCAGTAAGTCAGACCACTGCTTGCGACGCTGGGCTCCCGTACAGGAACGTGGTTCTAGTCCCGACTGTTCTGCTTCCACTCCAGCTCCTGCTGACCACTCGGGAAAGCAGCAGAAGTAGCCCAAGTGCTCGGCCTGCCGCCTGTGTCGGAGACCAGGATGGCGCTCCTGGTGCACGGCTCCGGCCTGGCCCAGCCCTGGCTGTTGTGGCCATGTGGGGAGTGAACCAGCAGAGAGATGCTCTCTCTGTCTCCCTCTCTCTCTCTTGCTCTGCCTTTCAAGTTCTAAATACAATAAATCTTAAAGAACTAATCAAGTATTGTTCATTGTTAATTGCAGATATTTATAAAAATTATATTTTAATGGAATTAGTATAATCAGATCTTTTTTATTTTTGAAGATTGCTTCATTGTAAGTTCATTGTTTTATAAAAATTGTTTTATAAAATGTGTTTGAGAGGCAGCAGCAGAGCCTCCATCTGCTCATTCGCTCCCAGTGCTGAGCGGGACCCTGAGTCGGGGCCGCCACCCGCTTGGCCTGCTGCTTCCTTCCCCGCTTCCCAGGGCGCGGAGCAGAGAAGCTGGAGTCAGGAACCACAGCGCAGCCGGGGCTTGGGCTCGGGCCCTGTGGTTCAGCCAGTGGTGTGAGCACAGGCTCCACGTTGTGTGCTGTTTACAGTCAGCCGACTGGACACTGGCATGCACTTGATTTCTAGTTGCAATGTAGATGTGTTCGAGTTTTCTTGCTAAGAGTTTGAATGATTGTCCTGAGAACATACATAATGTTTTGGATTGCATTGTTTTGTTAATTTGTTATTCTAAATTCTTGATACCTACTTCCTTTTTGTTTATTTGGCTTGTTGAAAAACATTCTTGTTTTAATTGGTTTCTCATGTGTGATACTAGTTAGTCTGGGTTTTTACTGTGGTGGTATTATCTGGTTATTTTTGAGTTACAAAAGAAATACCTCTTTGAAAAGTTTTCCTTGTTATCTGCCTGCCAGTAAGGGTAAGGTGGTATACTATATTTCAGATTTTTAAAATCCATAAATAAAATCAGTCTCCTTTCAGATACCAACCATATCAGTCAGTTTTTTCCTCTAAGAGAAACTGCTTAGTACAATTTTTTTTTGGTACAAATTCTCAATTAAGCCTAATTTTATTTTATTTTTTTTAGATTTATTTATTTGAAAGGCAGAGTTACAGAGAGGCAGAGAGGCAGGGAGAGGGAGAGGGAGAGAGAGAGGTCTTCCGTCCACTGGTTCAATCCCTAGATGGCTGCAGTGGCCAGAGTTGGGCTGATCCAAAGCCAGGAGCCAGGAGCTTCTTCCAGGTCTCCCACGCAGGTGCAGGGGCCCAAGGGCTTGGGCCATCTTCTGCTTCCCAGGCCATAGCAGAGGGCTGGATCAGAAGTAGAGCAGCTAGGACTTGAACTTGAACATGGTATGCTGGCACTGCAGGTGGCAGCTTTACCCGCTATGCCACTGTGCTGGCTCCTAAGCCTAATTTATTTATTTATTTTTATAGATTTATTCCTTTATTTGAAAGAGTTATACAGAGAGAGGAGAGACAGAGACACACACAGAGAGAGAGAGGTCTTCACTCCCCAGTTGGCCACAACGACTAGAGCTGCGTCAATCTGAAGCCAGGAACCAGGACTTCTTCCGGATCTCCCATGCGGGTGCAGGGACCCAAGGACTTGGGCCATCTTCTACTGCTTTCCCAGGCCACAGCAGAGAGCTGGATCGGAGGTGGAACAGCCGGGTCCCGAACAGGTGCCCATATGGGATGCCGGCGCTTCAGGCCAAGGCGTTAACCTACTGCGCCACAGCATCGGCCCCCTAACTTCTTATAAGTCTGGTCTACTTCCTGACTTTTGTACTAGCTGGCGCACGCTGTCCAGACAACAAAATTATTGTGGAAGATATTTTCTCTATAGTTGTCGCAGTGATGTTGAATGTTGAAATCATGGAGGAAAGGACTAAAGTAATCTTGTCATTGTACTTAGATCAATTTGAAGTTCGGCATCAGGAAGCCAGAAGCTCGGACGGGAACTGAGACAGACACCTGTACGGCCTGTGCAGGTACCTTGATCCTCGAGTTTGCCGCGCTCAGTCGGTTCACAGGAGCAACGATATTTGAGGTTTGCTTTCATGGTCTTTGATCTCCTGGGCACTGGGCATGGCTGCGTCCTGCGTGCTGTGTGTAGGCTAAGAGAGATGCTGTTACTGCAGTGGACTTGGTCCAGATTCCACCGCATGGTTCTAAATGGCCAGAAACATAAATTAAGTCATTTGTGAAGTAGCCATGTGAAATGCAATTTTGTATTTTGTTCACAAACTATAAAATTATATTTTGGGTTTATACTTAGGACAATTTTTAGCCATTTTACTGAGGTGAATTTGATGGTTCCTTGATGTCATGAGTGTTATATGAAATACTGTGTGGGCCCATGTGTGTTTTTATTTGCTAGACTTCCAGATGGGCTATTGCTTTTCTGAAACCTTCACCAATTCTCTAAACAGGGACATTTTGTCCACTTAAGTCTTGGTTGGGGGTCTCATCTGTAAATGTGTTTACTGCAAGGGAAGTGTTCATTGTCCGAAAGGCTTGGTATCCCCAATACAGTTTGCTGTGAACACACTGTATGTGTTATATTACAAACTAAATTGATTTAAGCATAGCATCAGGAGTACAGTAGTAACACAAAGCACCCTCTTCTTCTAACAAGTGACTTAGGAGAATTTTTAATCATTCGACACAGTACACACAGAGTAAGCAGAAATGGGGATTCCTGGCGGCATTGCAGAGAGCGGGTCTGAATGTCAATAAACTAGTTAGGGTTGTGTGTGTCTGTTCAGATGTCTGAGGACAGATGTCACATGTTTGGTTGGTTCGTCTTATGTACTTAAAGTTTCACCCTGTGCCTTGCCCACTGACACGTCCCCTTATTGAGAAGTGCAAACACGTGTGCGTGCTCTTTAACGTAACACGAACTACAGACTTTGTGAGACACTGTGGCATTTACAGGTGAGGAGACTGCATGGCTGGCAGGTGATGAGTGGCGTTAGAACTCGTGTCTTTGGGAACTCAAGTTCATTCTCGTGTGTGCGGGGTAAATCTGTTCAAAGTCTTGATTTTTTTGTTTAACTTTTTGAATATATAGTAATTTTGTTGTCAGGGAAGCCACCTGATTCAGTTGACAGCGCTGATCTTATGCAAGATTGTCAGACTACAGTCTGTGGGCTCTCAACCCCAGCTGCTGCAGGTTTTTGTAAATAAAGTTTTATTAGAACACACCATGCTCGATTGTGTAGTTTCGTCTGTGGCCACAGCTGTGCTGCAGTGAGTTGTGACATTGTTTCTGTGCCTGAAGGACCCGGAGCAACCAAAATCCAGAATGTGTGAGTCCAGCCCTTGCCGGAAGTGGTTCCCTGACACCTGGGCTGATACATGAGGAGATGTGAACTCTCCGACTGGCCATCCTGTGATCCAGTTCTAAGTTTTGGTTAAATCTTTAATTTCACTGGGCCTGTTTTCTTACTTGTAAAATGGAAGTAAGGAAATATAACTTGTAAGAAGCTCTTTTGGCTCTGAAATTCTACCATTTAAAAATATCTTTGCTTTTTAGAATCAGCATAAATAGGTTGAATCAAGAATTAAAACTTTTCCAGCTCTGTGCATTCTCAGCTGGACGAGGTGACGGGTGAGCTTTGTGAGAACATCCAAGGAGGTTCTTTAACAAGTACGTGTTTAGTTACATCAGCAGTTGATGTAAGGTAGTCAGATGTGTGAACCTGAACTTGTACTGCAGGAATGGGCGGCCTCAGCGTGACATTCCCAAACTCTGACTTAAGGAAATTTATGTTAGAAATAGTTAGGAATTTTACGTAATTCTGACATATTCTATGAGACTTTGATTTCTTCCTATTTGCCAAAGACATGAAGTTCTTAAAGAATGCTCTTTTTTTTAAATTACAGGAATATGCAAGAAAAGCTCTCGATTTTCTCTGGGAAAAAAGACAACGAAGTAGCAATTTAGTGGGAGTGACTATCAATATTCATACAGGAGACTGGGTTCGAAAAGGTATGTGCATTGGGCTTTTAAAAATCAGCTTTCATGTCCTCAGAACGGTTGAGAAATCAGGATTTTCATTCGTCAGAATCATCTTTGGGGAGTCGGCGTTGTGGCTCAGTGGGTGAAACTCCGTGGACAGTGCTGGCGTCCCACGCGTGTGCCGGTTTGTGTCTCAGCTGCTCCACTTCCAGTCCAGCTTCTGCTTCTGCCTTTAGCCTGGCCCAGCCCTGGCCACGGCAGCCATTCGGGGAGTGAACCAGCAGATAGAAAATCTCTCTCTCCCTCCCCCTCCCTCTCCCTCTGTTACTCTGTCAAATAAATAAATCTTAAAAAAAATCTTTGGGATATTATAAAGCACAGGTTCTCACAAGATTGCTAGAATGTTCATTTTCAGCCAGATGTGCTTTGTTGGTGTCAAATGCAGCCGACCTGCTCCGGATGATTTTAGTGTTCTGTTCCACACTTTCGGGAGTGTAGCAGCGTACGGGCATGGGTGTAGATGAAACACTGGAGTCAGTTGCTTTGTGGACTGGGGTCAGAGCAGCTCCGCCGTCCCACTGCAGGCGCAGGTTCGCGGGAGCTGGTATGGAACGGTGTTATGCCTCCAGAAGGAGAGACTGACAGAGTGGTCAAGGGTGCGGACTGCAGAACTGTTACTGGAATTGAGGCTGTGTGGTCTCAGGCAAGGTGTTCAGCCTCTGTGTGCCTCTCCACGACAGTGGAATGGGCCCGTGAACAGTGCTTTGCAGAACTGATGTGAGGGTTAAGTGAGCATTAACGGGGAGCCCTTGGGCTGCTGCTGGCCTGGTCAGCTAGCTGGGGAGGGAGTGCTCACTAGCGGGACAGGATGAAGCCGCTCTGATTGGTAACTTCTTTGCTCAGCAGCTAAGCTGTGCTTGGCCTTCACACTGATTCCAGTTTCTTCTAGTGCACACCTTGGGCGGCAGCAGTGACGGCTCAAGGACTTGGCTCCTGGCCACCCACGTGGGAGACCCGGATTGAGTTCCAGACTCCTGGCTTTGGTCTGGCCCAGTCCCATTGTTTCAGACATTTGGGGAGTGAGCCAGTGGATGGGAGCATGCTCTCTCTGCTTTCAAATAAATAAAATGAAATAAAATAATAGTACAGTTTTACTTCTGGAAATCCAGCCTGATGAGATAATATAAAATATAGGAGTTACTGTTCTTAGTTTCCAGAGGTGTTCGTCCATGACTGTTTACAGTGATAGAACACTGGGAAATAATCCAGGTGGTCATCAGTAAAAGAGTAGGACAATCATTTTGTCAGTGTTGGAATATTATGTTATTGAAGTGTATTGGAAGGGAAGATTAGAAACTTGCAATAGTATTATGAATAAGTAGGATATAAGATAGCATAAAGAATATTTATACTTTTCATAATTTTATATTTATAAAACACCCTTGTAAAATAAGTATGGAGAAATGGAAATACGCCAGGACATTTCTAATGAGATAATCTTTCTCATGCATTTCTTTGTTTTCCAAAAGGCTCATCTTCACAAATAAACGTTAAAAATATCTGCCTATATTTAAGCGATTAAAAATTATATAATTCTTTAAATTTTTATTTATTTGAAAGAAAGAGAACGCTGTCTCTCATCTGCTGGTTCACTTCCCAAATGGCCAAAACAGCTGGGACTGGGCCAGGCTGAAGCCAGGAGACGCTGCATCGGGGTCTCCCCCCGGGTGGCAGGAGCACCAACCACCAGGGCCATCACCACTGCCTCCCAGGCTGCCCGTTAGCACCAAGTTGGAATCAGACGTGGAGCCGGGACTTGAACCGAGGCTCTCTGATACAGATGCCAGCGTCTCACGTGGCGTCTTCAGTGCAGGCCCAGTGCCAGCCCCCCAGTTATGTCGTTTTTAATTTCAAAGTATCTAAGTTTTGCCTTTTCCAGTATCACATACATTTTTTCTGAGTTTTATCTAAATGGTTCCTGAAACAATCTGAATCCTGGCTTCAAAACTTAGCAATTTCTTTCTTTTTTAACCCATTTTGGACCTCAGGTTTAAATTAACTCATCATAGTTACTTTTATATTTAGCATAATCCTTGACTTAGGACCAGGACGCCTCGTCCCTGGTCCATGTGTGGGCACCTTGTTTGGTCATTTCTGATAAGGCAGAGAGCGCTGTTACTGGCTTGCTGCAGCAGCTTAATTTCTAGTGTGCTCTCTCCCTGACCCTGACCCTGACCCCCACCCGGTGATTCCACACCCGCCGCCTCCCCCTAGGTGGAGTCTTTCTTGCCTGGATCGCTCTGTGACTTTCTGTATCTCCCACATGGGAGACCAGGAGCTTCATCCTGGCCCAGCCCTGGCTGTTGTAGCTATTTGGGGAGTGAACCAGCAGATGGAAGATCTCTCTCTCCCTCTCTCTGTCTCTCCAAATTCTGCCTTTCAAACAAATAAATAAATCTTTAAAAAAAAAATGTTGGAGCGAGGCGCTTCTTTCAGGTCTCACCTGTGGGTGCAGGGGCCCAGGGACTTGGGCCACCTTCCGCTGCTTTTCCAGGTGCATCGGCAGGGAGCTGGTTGGAAGTAGAGCAGCCGGGACTCCAACCACCCCGATACGGGGTGCGAGTATTGCAGGCGGTGGCTTTACCTGGTACACACAAGGTCACCCCAGTCCTTTTTTGAAAGTTTACCTGTATCTGTATGCATTCCTAAGAAGTTTGTTTTGTTTGAGCCTTTGGTAAAGGGTAGCATGTCATGCACACATGCTCTTTTTTGACTTTCTCCCTCGGTGTTAGATTGGTAAGGCTCATACACATGTTGCATCCCGTTGTGATTCGCCCTCTCCTGACTGCTGTGTGGTGCCTTATGAGGTGATAACCCCAGTCCTGGGCAGATGTGCACAAGGTTTAGTGTTGCAAACAGCAGTGCTGGGAGCGTCTGTGGGCTGCTCCTGCCGTGCCTGGGTCACAGCCTCTCTGTACCCAGGAGGGAAGTTGGGCCTGGCTAAGTCCATGTTCAGCTTCAGGAGACAGTGTGAAGTGGTTTTCCAAAGCTGTGTCACAGCCCCGGGTGTTCCCAGCAGTGTGGATGAGCTCCGGGCTGTCGCCTTCCTGTCCGCTATTCCGTCCATGGGACCGGAAGTCGTTGCCCGCGGGTGGGTGCACAGACATCGTCTGCTGTGCCCTGTGACGGTGCTGCCGAGCGCTTCCTCCCATCACTGCCATGTGTGTCCTCTTTTATGAATGGTGCGTTCTGCATCCTGGGCTCCTTGAGCTGGATCAGAAGTGGAACAGTCAGGACACGAACTGGCACGCCATGTGGGATGCTGGCATTGCAGGCCGCGGCTTTACCTGCTACTCCACGACACCACCCCTTAAAACAGTTTTAATCGCTATTGTATTTCAGTATATTTTGCCTTTCCTGTCTGCTATAAATTGTTGTGTTTTTATTTTATTTGAGAGACACAGAATTCTCATCTCTGGTTCACGCCCCAAGTGCCCGCAGTGGCCACTCCTGAGCCAGCCCACAGCCTGGAGGAACTCCTGGGAGGCGGGGTCCACGTCTTGGGCCGTCTACCTGCTGCCTCGTGGAGTGTACATCCAGGATGCTGCAGTCGGGAGGGGCCAGACTCAGGTCCAGGCACTCCACTTCTGGGTGTGGACATCCGAAGTGGCATAGTAATCACTATGCCAGACACCCTCCCTGGTTCTGTTTTCACTTTTATTTGAAAGGCAGAGAGTCAGACAGACAGGTCTTCATCTGCTGGTTCATTCCTCAAGTGCCTGCAATAGCCAGAGCTGGGTCAGGCCAAAGCCAGGAGCCTGAAACTCAAACCACTCTCCCACATGTACGCATGAGGGACCCCAGGACTTGAGCCGGCATCTGCTGCCCCCAGGGTGTGCGTTAGCTGGAAGCTGGCATGGAGAGGGGCCGGTCCTTGAACCCGGACTGTGATTCCGCTTGCAGGTGTCACAGGGGTACCCTAGCCGCTACCTACGATGCCAGCATCCCGCATGGGGTGCCAGTTGGTATCCTGACTGCTCCACTTCTGATCCAGCTTCCTGACTTCGGCCTGCCCAGCACTGGCCATCAGTGGACACCGTCTCTTTCCCTTTTAGGGGATGAGTACACGTGGGCTTCCTGTTTGCTGATTTGTTCCTCAGGTGTATTCTTCTGCTGTATCCTGTCGAGTGGTCTGTTTCTGTTGGATTTCTAACGAGTTTTTCTTCTCGTTTTGTATTGCTCGTGTCTTAGGTCTACAGTGTGTGTTTTAGGCTGACGGTAGAGTCTGGTGTGCCTGTTTGAGTATTTTCTCTTCTTCAGGAGAAGGTATCCAGTGCACTGCTGACGGTCTGAGAAGTCGTGCCTCTTCAGTGTCTTGTTTTGGTCTGGTGGTTCCATGCTCCTGTGCCGCCTGCCTTGGGGGACAGTTAGATCCTGCCCCTCTCAGCCCCAGTGATCTCAGGGCTGCGGTGGAGGAGGTTTTTACAAAACGTTCACGCCTGGACCTTAGAGTGTGACTGACTTGGTTGTGGGCGTGCCCTGGGCATGGGGTTTCCAGGATGATAATTACAGCATTTTTTAAAATTTCATTTAGGGGCCGGCGCGGTGGCGCACTAGGTTAATCCTCCACCTCTGGTGCTGGCATCCCATATGGGTGCCGGGTTCTAGTCCCGGTTGCTCCTCTTCCAGTCCAGCTCTCTAATGTGGCCCAGGAGGGCAATGGAGGATGGCCCAAGTGCTTGGGCTCCTGCACCCGCATGGGAGACCAGGAAGAGGCTCCTGGCTCCTGGCTTCGGATTGGCATAGCTCTGGCCGTAGTGGCCATCTAGGGAGTCAACCAACGGAAGGAAGACCTTTCTCTCTGTCTCTCTTTCTCACTGTCTGTAACTCTACCTGTCAAATAAATAAATAAAAATCTTTTAAAAAATTTATTTGAATGGCTGAGATATATATATATATATATATATAACCCTATATATATATATATATATATATATATAACCCTATATATATATAGGGTTATATATATATATAGGGTTATATATATATATAAAAAAAAAGAGAGAGAGAGAGAGAGAGGTCTTTGATCCACTGGTTCACTCCCCAGATGACCACAACAGCCAGAGCTGGTTTGATCTGAAGCCAGGAGCCAGGAGCTTCTTCCAGGTCTTCCACATGGGTGCAGGGGCCCAAGGACTTGGGCCATCCTCCACTGCTTTCCCAGGCCACAGCAGAGGCCTGATAGAAGTGGAGCAGCCGGGACTTGAACCAGCACTTATATGGGATGCTGGCACTGCAAGTGGCGACTCTACCTGCCATGCTGCAGCACCAGCCTCGACTGTAATTTTTTTTAAGAGTTACTTATTTGAAAGGCGAGTTACAGAGAGAGAGATCTTCCATCTGCCGTTTCAATCTCCAGATGGCTGGGCTGAGCCAGGCTGAAGCTGGGAGCCAGGCGCTTCGTCCAGGTCTCCCATATGGGTGCAGGGCCCAAGCACATGGACCGCGGTTCCACTGCTTTCCCAGCATGCCAGTAGGGAGCCGGATCAGCGTGGAGCAGCTGGACTCACCGCCTCCCACGTGGGATGCCGGCGTTGCAGGTGGCGGCTTAACCCGCCGTGCCACAGCCCGCTCCCGTGGTTACAGTTGTGACTGCAGCTCACCAGACCTGAGCTGCTAGTTCCTTACACGGACTCTGCTGCCCAGACGGCACTCCTGAGGACGGGGGAGCAGACCGTGTGTCCAGGCAGAGCCGCAGCTGTCCGTCTGCTGCTGCCCTCCACGGCTGCGCGGGCTGCCTTCTGCCCTGCCCGAGCTGTCCCCGCCTCTCCCGGGATTCTCGCTGTTTCCTGTTGGTGCTCTGGTCTTGAAGGAAGAAGCAAGCAGCCAGGGTGGCGCCTGCACACAGCAGTGTCCTGTTTCCTGCCCGACAGGCCTGGAGTGCGGGCTCTTGCTGGTGGGGGTCAGATGCTCTTTGAAGGACTTTAAAAATTCTAAAAAAAAGTGTCCACAGCTTCTGAACACTACTCTGTAACCAAGTTAGCAAAGTAACGTTTTTTAAGCAATGCATGGCCAGCACCAGTACCTGCACACCCGGGGTGGTGTGGCGTCCTTCCTGGGCGGTGCCTGCTTGCGCTCCGGGAAGGGCTCTGGAGTCGTGACTCACGCGGGTCTCCTGTGCCTGGTTTGCAGACAGCGGCGTGGGAGCAGGGATCGATTCGTATTACGAGTACTTGCTGAAAGCCTATGTCTTGCTGGGAGATGACAGCTTTCTGGAAAGATTTAACACGGTAAGTCGGTCCTGTGTTGTGCGGCCAGTCTCATCTGAGTCCGGATTTTGATAGATACCCAGTTATTTGGGTTAAAGTCCAAAAAGTTTGTTTTTAACTGTAGCTTTTTAAGGAGCAGTATTCCCTCATGGTAATGGATGTAAACATGTTGAAAACCACATACATTAAAAAAACTAGCTTACAAAGTAGTTCTGCTTTCGTCTTGTATCAAAAATTTTCCAGATCTGCCAATAAATGGTCTATAGAGTTGTGCTAATCTGTGCAAAGAACAGCGTTGTTGGGATCACTTACAGCTGGCTTTCTCCTTGCAATTCCAATTCCGTTTGGAGTCTCGGGAGTTTGGCCTCGTCCTGCGTCTCACCTTGTGTGCTCACTGGGAGCCTGGGAGAGACAGTGAGTGTGCATTTCAGGAGAGGGCTCCGATCAGACCCATCGGCAGGTTTTTGGAGAGGCTTGTTGAACTCGTTGAGTTGCCTTTGTCATCAGAACAAACAAGCCAATAAAGCAGACCCATCAGCTGTGTCACTCTTCTAAAAATAATTTACCACTTCTTCGCCCACCCACCGGTTCACCCGCGTTCCTGTGTGAGACGTGCGGTCTGGTGGCTAAAATCAGGGGGTAAACCCTGGTGGGACCACCTGCTGGTTCCGTGACTCTGGGCAAGTAACCAACCCTATTCGCCCCATTTCGCGTGTGTGGGATGCGGCACTGGGCCTCTGTGTAGGGTCCTTGGGAGGGTTAGATCAGGTTCTGAGTATGAAGTGGTTCAGAACAGTGCCTTACAGTGGCAGGTGCTCCGTTACAGCAGTTAAATAACGAATCAGCAAAAAACACACCAAAAAGTCACTAAAAGTCCTGATGAGTCATCAGTTGAATACTTTAAAACTATCACGCACAGTACTTACTAGGATATCGTAAGATTTTCTGGAGGGGAATGGGGGCAGGTAGTACTTTTGTGGGTGCATTAATACAACCTGTTGTCAAAGCTGAGAAGTAGCTGGGAGAAGGTGACGGAGTTTCTGGAGCGTTAGAAGCAGACAGCACAGGCTGCAGGGTGGGCAGTGGGCAGATCCCTCCATGCAGGTCACAGCGAGGCCCAGCGCGTATCCCAGCTGCGAAGGGATCAAACCTGCAGGAGCTCTGGCCGAGGAAGCTGTGGCTGAAAGCTGAGGGCCTAGGCTCAGCCCCAGGCCCACGCTGGACCCACGCTCCCTCCACGCACCCCAGCATAGAAGTCCATGTTCTGCGTGAGTTAAAGGACATGGGGCGTATGCACGTCCTAGGAAGATGCCGTCTGAAATACCTGGAGTGTTCACGTAGTTGGCTGGTGGGCGGTGGGCGGGCTGCGTTGCAGCTCTGGGTGCTGTTGGGTGCATGTTCTGCCCCCGTGTGACACGATGCGTGTCCTCCCAGCACTACGACGCCATCATGAGGTACATCAGTCAGCCGCCGCTCCTCCTGGACGTGCACATCCACAAGCCCATGCTGAACGCGCGCACCTGGATGGACGCCCTGCTGGCCTTCTTCCCGGGTTTGCAGGTGGGACGAGCTCTGCTCAGCATCGCGGGTACTGTCGTGGGTGTGTGTCGTCCGCGGGGGCTGAGGGCGGGTCACGGCCGAGGGGTGCTCACGCTCGTGGCCGCTCTGTGCGCGCCGTGGTTGTAGATAGAGCAGCTCCTGCCTCCCAGGTACTAGTGCTCCTGCTGACTTCCAGGTTCTAAAGGGGGACATCAGACCTGCCATCGAGACGCATGAGATGCTGTACCAGGTGATTAAGAAGCACAACTTCCTGCCGGAGGTAAGCCAGTGCCGATTCAGGGCGGGGAGCCGGGCCTTCGGGAGTGGGCGCTGTCGTCTTTTTCCTGGTTAAACGGTTTAACTTCTCTTTAGCTTAGACACTGTTGTGCGTGTTTTTCCTTTTCTTCACATATCAAAAGAAGTCTAATTTGGGATAATGTTGATACTAATTTCACGGAAGAAAGATGGCGGCCTAGCGCGCCTCACTCCTCACCCATCCCGGCCTCTCTTGGCGCGTGCCTGTCAGCAAGGGCGAGCTTGTCGCTGCTCATTCCCTGAGGCGTGGTGGGTGAAAACGACGTGCTGTACGTAAACTTGCTGGTCACCCACTCCCGGAAATCTGAGGGGTATCCCCCCTGGTTCTCGCAGGGTGTGCGTGGTGCAGTGCTGCCCCCTGAGGCAGCTCAGCACCCTCCACTGCTTAGGGTCGAGCATTGCGGAAGGTGACCCCGTGTAGGGGAAGCTGAGCTTTCAACTCTACAGCTGGCGCAAGGGAGGATTGTGTTTGGAGTCCATAAGTCTTTGTTCGCTTTAATTTTTATCTTTTTTTTTCTAAAGACCAGTTAGCCCTGTTGTTGCCTGAATTTCAACTGATTATACTTATTGTAATTTTCAGTCTCATTCCACAAATGAGTTGAAGTTGTTGTAAAAGAAAACTTTTGCTAAAATAATCCTAAAATGGGAACACAAGTTCATGCAGAATGCATGCCACGAGAACAGTGCTCATGGATTCAGACTTACCTTTTAATTCCATTTTTCCATGAACTTTCTGAAGTATCCTTGGACGTGCTTGAAAATTGCAGAGAGAGATTTCTAGGATGTGTGGCAGTGCTTACGTTAGTTAGATTGGCTTAGCCATTCCACAGCGTACATGTATGTCAGAATACCATTTATAGCTTAAATGTATGTAGTTTTAATTTGTCATTTAAAAATTTGTGAAAGACTGTGAGATGCAGCAAAGTCACATGCAGGGATTATGAAGGACATCAGAGGGAAGAAGACAGGACAAGGCCAGTAGGCCGCCAGGACCCCAGGGGGCACCGCTCAGTTTCATTCCTTCATTACTGAGTTTTTTGATAGCCCGAGTGGGTATTTAAAAACGAATCCACTTACCTGGTACAAATAGAAGCTGTTGCAAAAGTAAATTATGATTTTTGTGGTGAAAATGGGTGTTTTACAGATAAAAACATCACTAGTTCTTAATTACCCATTTATGATTGATTATGTACTCCATCTAGAAACCTTTTTTATCCCTCTTACGTATCTGTGTTTTGCTTTTGTTCAGGCGTTCACGACAGATTTCCGGGTGCACTGGGCTCAGCATCCTCTGCGGCCAGAATTCGCAGAGAGCACCTACTTCTTATACAAAGTAAGGCCCTGGCCCACTGGGGCTGCTCCCTCGCGTCAGGGTTACTGTGCTGGGCTGGTGTGGTGGCCCACTGGGGCTGCTCCCTCGCGTCAGGTGACCGTGCTGGGGCTGGTGTGGTGGCCCACTGGGGCTGCTCCCTCGCGTCAGGGTGACCGTGCTGGGGCTGGTGTGGTGGCCCCACTGGGGCTGCTCCCTCGCGTCAGGGTTACTGTGCTGGGCTGGTGTGGTGGCCCCACTGGGGCTGCTCCCTCGCGTCAGGGTTACTGTGCTGGGGCTGGTGTGGTGGCCCCGCTGGGGCTGCTCCCTCGCGTCAGGTGACCGTGCTGGGGCTGGTGTGGCCCCCACTGGGGGCTGCTCCCTCGCGTCAGGGTGACCGTGCTGGGGCTGGTGTGGTGGCCCCACTGGGGCTGCTCCCTCGCATCAGGTGACCGTGCTGGTCTGCTGTGGTGGCCCCCACTGGGGCTGCTCCCTCGCGTCAGGGTTACTGTGCTGGGCTGGTGTGGTGGCCCCACTGGGGCTGCTCCCTCGCGTCAGGGTGACCGTGCTGGGGCTGGTGTGGTGGCCCCCACTGGGGCTGCTCCCTCGCGTCAGGTGACCGTGCTGGGTCTGGTGTGGTTGCTGCTCTCCTAGTCCCAAGGTGAATGATTGAAAGCTACAAGTATTGACACGAAAATTCTATTCCTTTTCAAAATATGTAAACATATGTGCTCTAGGGCTGCTTTCTGAAGCATGTCTCTGGCCTCGGGACCTGGACAGCAGGCAGACGCCAGCCTGCAGGCTGGGAGGGATCACAGTGGGCGGCCGTTCAGTTGTGTGTTCACTGCAGGCCTGGCCCCTAGTGGGTTCTCAGTGAGTACTTGATAAATGCATGGGTGTGTGGGACTGGGTAGTATACATCTCTCTCCTTTTTAATAGGCTACGGGAGACCCTTACTACCTGGAAGTAGGGAAGACACTTATTGAAAATTTAAACAAGTACGCTAGAGTGCCTTGCGGATTCGCGGCCATGAAGGACGTGCGCACTGGAAGTCACGAGGACAGGTAACCGTGCACACCCTCCCCTCGGCGCCACCACCGCGGACAGCACAGCAGACAGACAGACACAAGCCTTCCGCCCCCGTGTTTGTGTTTTCAAACTTCCTTCTCCGTGCATTTGTGTCATGGTGCCTGACATACAGGAGGTGCTCAGCTGATGTCTAAGTCGCCGATTGTGGGATATCAGCCCCTCAGTGTGAGAAGCGTTTGTATCAGGTGAGACGCTGGAGGCCGGGGTGAGGCCGGCGGTGCGCTGAGATCGCTCGGGCGTGGGCGCAGTACCGCCCCACGGCGCACCCTCACTCTGCCACCCATGGGCAGGGGTCGGGGAGACCAGGGCTGGTTTCTGTTTTGGTTCCTGGTTAGATGTGAATTGCAAGACGTACTCCAGCTGAACGAAGCTTGCTTTGCTAAATGTGATATTTACTAACATCCTGGTTAACTCTGGTTGTCACATCTCTAATAGGCACTCAGACTCGCCTGTGCGTTTGGCGAGCAAATGTTTGTTCCATAAAATTTGAGTTCTCTGTGAGCTGCAGTTGTGCTGGTTTTTGAGGATTGAATATATGAAGACGTGTCCTTTCTGTCATCGAGCACGGAGGACAGGCAGATAAACAGACCGTGATGCCCTGTCGGCTGTGACCCCTGTTAAAGGGACGTGAAGGGCGGGTGGGATGTGGGCATCAGTGGGAAGCCCCTGCAGGGCCTGGAGCACGGCGAGGAGTTGCAGGCAAGGGGACTGTGGGTGTGAGGAGTGGCACGCGTGGCCTGCTCACAGGGGGCCCTTCGCCGCTGCGCAGAGCATTGGCTGAGAGTTGATTAGACTTGGGGTGCCTTCCAGACCACAGCTGACCACAGCTGACAAGGGGGTTGGGTTTCTGGGAGCAGGGGTGCGGACCAAGGTGGGAAATGAAAGCAGCACCCTGCGTGCCGCCTCTTCTGAGCACTGCCCGTGGTTCCCACCTGAGCCTCCCTGCACACTGCCCGTGGTTCCCACCTGGGCCTCCCTGCACACTGCCCGTGGTTCCCACCTGGGCCTCCCTGCACACTGCCCGTGGTTCCCACCTGGGCCTCACTGCACACTGCCCGTGGTTCCCACCTGGGCCTCCCTGCACACTGCCCGTGGTTCCCACCTGAGCCTCACTGCACACTGCCCGTGGTTCCCACCTGGGCCTCACTGCACACTGCCCGTGGTTCCCACCTGAGCCTCACTGCACACTGCTCGTGGCTCCCACCTGCTGCTCACTGCACACTGCTCGTGATTCACACCTGGGCCACTCTGCCCTTTGTCCGTGGTTCCCACCTCGCTGCTCACTGCACACTGCTCGCACCTCGCACTCGCTGCTCACTGCACACTGGCCCTGGTTCCCAACCAATGCTCACTGCACGTGCTTCCAGGTTCCCACCTGGGCCTCACTGCACACTGCCCGTGGTTCCCACCTGAGCCTCCCTGCACACTGCCCGTGGTTCCCACCTGAGCCTCTCTGCCCGTGGTTCCCACCTGAGCCTCACTGCACACTGCCCGTGGTTCCCACCTGAGCCTCACTGCACACTGCCCGTGGTTCCCACCTGGGCCTCCCTGCACACTGCCCGTGGTTCCCACCTGGGCCTCCCTGCACACTGCCTGTGGTTCCCACCTGTGCCTCACTGCACACTGCCCGTGGTTCCCACCTGAGCCTCACTGCATACTGCCCGTGGTTCCCACCTTGGCGTGCATTGGAGGGCAGCATTGCTCTGAACTCGGTGTCCCCTCCCTCTGAGTAGTCCTTGTGCCTTCCCTCTGCTGTCTTCTCCTGTTCCACTTGTGTCCAGGATCCAGATGCTCTGACCCAGGTGCAGGTGCCCATGGGGGTGGGGGTGGGGGACCTGCAGATTTCCACAGGTGTACGCCGTCCATCCCCCAGGGCCCCGCCTCCAGGCTCGCAGTCCTGAGACTGAGCTGCCTGTGGGCCCGCAGGAGGCGGGGCACTGGGCCTCGTGCCCCTGTCCGTCAGCTGGGTTGTAGGTTTCTACAGCTTTGTCTGCTCAGCCGGCAGGGAGCTGTTGTCGTGCCGTGCCCCCTAGCCTCCGCAGCTGGCTCCATTCTCCTGAGAGCGGCTTTTTACCTGTAAACTTAGAGCCTTGTACTGATTCTGGCAAAATTTCATTGTGTTGGCTTTTGTCTGTTCTTAGATTGAGAGATGGATTAGGCAGTCATCTACTCTGTTGGCAAACACACCTCAACATGTCTGGCATCCAGATGGTTAGGAAGAATGCTGATAGGCCCACAGCCCGTTCCGTGGCGGGCAGAGAGCGTCCAGGTGCAGGCTCTTGGCCTCTGCTGCTCCCGCTGCCCCTGGAGCTGCCTGCCTGTGGCTCCGTGGCGTCAGCCCTGCCCACACACACAGTTTTAGAAATGCGTACATCTGTAAGGCCTCCTTGCCCTGATGAATGGCTCTGAACACCTGGAGCCGTCTGGGATGCCCTCCACCCGCCTGGCTTCCTCACTGTTAGCAATTAGCGCCTTCCGGAGCTTCGCGCCAAAGCCTGTGTTTTCATGTGTGTGAGTTCATGGTTTGAAGTACAGATTAGACCACATGATAAAATGCTCCGCTTACTAGTCTTACCAATTCATTTTTATAAAGACTTGAAAGGCAGGTGATAGTGCGGCCACGGAGGTACACTGCATCCACATCTCTCCCCAAGTGGCCGCAGCAGCAGCCAGGGATGGGCTAGCCAGAAACCAGACCTGGGTCTCCCACCGGCTGGCGTGGCGGGGACCCAAATACCTGAGCCGTCATCTGAAGGTTCCCAGGCACAGAGGTGTGGAGCCACTGGGACTCCAGCCACACAGCAGTGTGTGGTGCAGATGTCGACCTCTGCCCCTCCGCTGTGCTGCGCGCAGTCGGGAGTGAACCCTGTGCAGTCTTACTTTGTATCAGTTCTAGAATTTGCCACATACCAGGACCTCGCCCTCCAGTCCCCAGTTCTCAAGATAGCATTTGCTCCCAGAATGCCCCTTGGACCCCTGGATGAGGTGAAGTGATGATAAGGGTATCGCAGGCTAACAGGAGGAGGTTTTTATCTCTAAAAAGGCTGACATCTAAAAAGGCCAAAAATATTTTGGAACATTACAGGTGAGTTTTTGTTCCAAAATGAAAAGTCATTTCTGTGTAGGAGAAGCGAGAGCTGTTCTGACTCCACGCGAGGGCCGGCTGCTGTGCTAAATGCCTGTGTGCAGTAGCGTCCCCTGGTCCCCGAGCTGGTCTCTGGGGGTCTTCTGGGGCTGTGTTCCTTGCTTCTCAGCTCCTTCTTGGTAAGAATGTTTATTGAGTGCCTGCCGCGTGCCAGGACTTGTGCGAGGCCAGAGGTGTGGACCCGTGGAGGCTGGGTGCTGGGCGGCAGCGGGGTTGACTGGGGCCGACTAAGGTTGACGTCGCTGTGGCTCCATTGCCACTTTCAGTGTGCGAATGCCACGCACAGGTTTGAGCATGAAGCCGTTTGTAAAGGCACGGGTGCTCTCGCCCCGCTTCTGCCCGGTCTCTTCTTGGCAGACTGGTAACTGCTGGTGAGGCGGTCACTGTGGGCCGTGTGACTTTGTGTTGTACTTTTTTTGTGTCACTTTTTATAAATGATTTCCTATACCTTTAAAACCTTCTTGTTTATCACTTAGCTCCATGAAAACCTGTATGAGTTCTGTTGCTAGTAGCTGCAGGTTCTTAGAGGGTGTCACTAGAAAGTCCACCCTGGTTCCCGCCTCCTGGGAGGCCGACTTTTCTGTCTCCTTGGAGTGTAATTGCAGGAGAGGTAGAGACAGAGAGAAAGGTCTTCCATCCCCTGGTTCACTCCACAGTTGGCTGCAACGGCTTGAGCTGCGCTGATCTGAAGCCAGGATCCAGGAGCTTCTTCCGGGTCTCCCACGCGGGTGCAGGGGCCCAAGGACTTGGGCCATCTTCTGCTGCTTTCCCAGCTTAGCAGAGAGATGGGTTGGAAGAGGAGCAGCTGGGACTAGAACCGGCGCCCATATGGGATGCCGGTGCTTTAGGCCGGGGCTTTAACCCTCTGCCCCACAGTGCTGGTCCCGGCCCCTGCATTTAAATATGTGAATGTTCTCCCGGTTACGTGTGACTCTCTGTTTTAGAATGGACTCTTTCTTCTTGGCTGAAATGTTTAAGTATCTTTACCTGCTGTTTGCTGAGAAGGAGGACATCATCTTTGACATAGAGGACTACATCTTCACCACAGAGGCCCATCTGCTGCCCCTCTGGCTCTCGACGACGAACCGGAGCGCCTCCAGGAAGAACGGGGTGAGGTTTGTGTGGAGCGACCTGTGCGTCTCCCTTCTCTGTGTGTGTGTGAGTCTCCCCGAGAGGAGCCATCAGCGCCTGCGCTTCAGGGTGTGAGCCTCCCCGAGAGGGGCCATCCGCGCCTGCGCTTCAGGGTGTGAGCCTCCCCGAGAGGGGCCGTCGCGCCTGCGCGTCAGGGTGTGAGCCTCCCCGTGAGGGGCCGTCGCGCCTGCGCGTCAGGGTGTGAGCCTCCCCGAGAGGGGCCATCCGCGCCTGCGCTTCAGGGTGTGAGCCTCCCCGAGAGGGGCCATCGCGCCTGCGCTGCTTCAGGGTGGGGGCCGTCGCGCCTGCGCTTCAGGGTGTGAGTCTCCCCGAGAGGGGCCATCCGCGCCTGCGCTTCAGGGTGGGGGCCGTCGCGCCTGCGCTTCAGGGTGTGAGCCTCCCCGAGAGGGGCCATCCGCGCCTGCGCGTCAGGGTGTGAGTCTCCCCGAGAGGGGCCATCCGCGCCTGCGCGTCAGGGTGTGAGTCTCCCCGAGAGGGGCCATCCGCGCCTGCGCTTCAGGGTGTGAGTCTCCCCGAGAGGGGCCATCCGCGCCTGCGCTTCAGTGTGTGAGCCTCCCCGAGAGGGGCCATCTGCGCCTGCGCTTCAGGGTGTGAGTCTCCCCGAGAGGGGCCATCCGCGCCTGCGCGTCAGGGTGTGCGCCTCCCCGAGAGGGGCCATCGCGCCTGCGCTTCAGTGTGTGAGCCTCCCCGAGAGGAGCCATCGCGCCTGCGCGTCAGGGCGTGCAAGCAGGAGAGGGCTCAGGCGGCGTCTCCTTTTTCTCCTGTCGCGTTCTGCGTGCGTCCTGTTTCCTCCGAGCAGTACCGTCCGGTGAAGGAGGCCCTTGATTTACATGGCGTTCTCGTGTGTTTCAGACCTCGGAGTACACCGAGCTGGACGACAGTAACTTCGACTGGACTTGTCCCAATGCTCAGCTTCTCTTTCCTAATGACCCGCTGTATGCTCAGAGCATTCGTGAGCCCTTGAAAAACGTGGTGGACAAGAGCTGCCCCAGAGGCATCATCAGAGTGTAAGATGCGTCACTGTTTTCTGTTTGTCACTCTCAGCGCCGGTTCTTAGTAATGGCAGAACGGGAAGCGCGTGTGACAGCCAAGACGTCCACTTAACCCAGAGACATTGAGGCCTGTGCTTATCACTGATAAAAATTCTCAGGAAAGTTAGATGCAAACCCTACTTTGCTATCATGTCAGTATTATCACGGAAATTTTCTTTGTTTAATGAATTCAGTAATTGTCAAGGGGGAGCATATAAGTTTTTAACTTCTGGCAGCCCATTTTATTTTTTCAAATTTTATTTCATCTTTTAATTTATATGCAAGGCAGAGAGAAAGATGGAGAGATCTTCCGTCCACTGGTTCACTCCCCAGTTGCCCAGAACAGTCGTGGCTGGGCCAGGCTGAAGCCAGGAGCCTGGAGCTCACGTGGCCCCCACGTGGTGGCTGGGACCCAGGTTCTTGAGCCGTCGCCTGCCAGAGTGCACGTGAGAGGGAAGCTGCCTGGAGGTGCAGCTGGGGCCTGGACGCAGGGCCTCTGGCGGGTGCAGGGGCTTCCTCTGCAGCAGACGCCCTCCCGCAGCTCACGTCCGTGCAGACGTTCTCGGAAAGTGTTTCTCTGCCCGTGTGCATGTTTGAAGGTTTCCTTATGTCGGTGGTGTCTCTGCATGAAGGTGTTGTTTGCTTTATTTGGTTTTATCCTTTGTGCAAGAATTTATTCTTGGCTGTTAAATAAAACATTTTTCAGCTTAAAGAGTTCATTTTCTTCCAAATATTTACATTGCAAAGGCTATTGCAAGAAAGCAAAAGAAAAAAAAATCTAAGTAAGCATCATGAATCACCAATGCAGGTATTGTTTTGCTTTTAAATATTGGGAGAAAATGTTTTTAGAGGAAGGGAGCAGTAGGAAGTCCCCTCAGCTGGGTGCTGTTGACTGCATTGCTGTCCTGGGAGTGGGCACAGACGCCCTGTGACGGGACACGCTGCCTTCGCTGTGCCGTCCTGGGAGTGGGCGCAGGCGCCCTGTGACGGGACACGCTGCCTTCGCTGTGCCGTCCTGGGAGTGGGCGCAGGCGCCCTGTGACGGGACACGCTGCCTTCGCTGTGCCGTCCTGGGAGTGGGCGCAGACGCCCTGTGATGGGAGTCCTGCATTTGTAGCGCTTGCTTCCCGCCGTTCCCCTAAGTTGGATACAGTGAGAGAGCGGTCCCCAGCTCGGAGTCTAACACGAGCAGTTCTGCGCGGATCTGACGGGATGTGCAGCTGGCTCGTCTCACCGGTTCTCACTTGCGGCTCTCTAAGCCTTGCCTGTGATTCCTTCCACAGAGAGGAGAGCTTCAGGAGTGGAGCTAAGCCCCCTCTGCGAGCCAGGGATTTCATGGCCACTAACCCTGAGCACTTAGAGATCCTGAAGAAGATGGGGGTGAGTTTGATTCACCTCAAAGACGGGCGAGTCCAGTTGGTCCAGCATGCGATCCAAGTAAGCCATTGCAGTGCGCGTCTGATTCCGCCCCCCCCCCCCCCCCCCCCCCTGCCCTCCCGGCGTTCCTAGCCTGCTGGCATTTGGCTTGTCCCAGACTTTAAATGTGTGGCTTTCCGTGAGAGGATCAGGGTCCTAGGACTGCAAGCGTCTTGGAAGCTCTCATTCAGCCTGTTTAAGTGCGAATCCGTTAAACCGAGGAGAGGCCGGGGGGTTCCTTATGCTGTCGCCAGTGCAGGACTCTGATCGCTGGTGTTGATGTCCACATCTCCGTGTTCCACATCTCTGTGTTTCCAAATAGCTGCAGCCCCAAGTGTTCTGTCCTCCGTAGAAGGCAGAGCCTGCATGCCTCAGCCCGTGCCTGGGAGGGTCGCGCGTGCGCTGGGACATCTTCACTTACTTTCAAGTGGAGAAGGTCTCATTACTGAGGGTTAAGTGGTTCACCCTTGCTAATACATGGGCTCGAGAAGCTGCGTGCAGGTGCCCCTATCTCAGATGCAGCTTTCAGGAATGTTCTTCCTCTGTTCACACTCACCCTCACCCCCGCGTGGGGGTGGCTGCCACCTGGGCCCCCAGTGACCTCTGCCCCAACACACGGCTCTTCTGTGCCTGCTGACGGGCCCTCGGGACGTCTGCCTCCTTGACGAGCACAGTAGCACAGTTGCTCACTGCTCTGCGGCTGCTTCATGGATTGCTTGCTGGGCTCCTTGTTTTGGCGAACCACTGGGCAAAGGCGTTAGCACCGGGTGGCGCTCTTCTTGCTGCTTCCCCCCCCCCCCCCCGCGAGCGCACTGTCGGCTTTGCACACACGGCTTCTCAGAGATCAGTGGAACCCTGACCCCCGCCCTTCAGCTGCTCGTCAGCGTGTCTGCATCTCTGTCTGTCTGTCCACGCTTGAACTCTCTCTCCCTCCTTCTCTCCCTCCCTGCCCACCGCGGCCCATCTCCGGTTTTGTTCTCCATGTCTGTAAACCCGCCGCCCTTCCCCGTGTCCCCACGCTGGACGTTTCAGGACAAACTCTGTCTCCCAGCTCCCGCCCTGTGCGTGGGAAGCGTCAGGAACCTGCTTTGCTTTTCTGCTGTCTGGGGCTTTCTCGGCCCGGGTGTCGCCTTCCCCACATCCACGCGGCAGAACGCGGTCTCCTCCCCTCCCCCCTTCTGCTGCCCACCTGAGAACTTGTGTCAGTGTCAGTGTCAGTGGCTCTGTCCTCTAGGCAGCTGCTTCAAGGGAGGGCTGGCTCCCCAGGCCTCAGCAGGCGCTGGGATGGAGCAGGTGCTGGAGATGGGTTTTGAACCAAAGGAACCTCGTTGCTTGTTCAGCATGGGGTCTTCTTTTAAAGACCTACCTATTTATGTGCTAGGCAGGTAGAGAGGAGAGAGAGAGCAAGCGAGCTTCTGTCTAGCTCATTCCCATTGGCTACAATGGCTGGGGCTGGGCCAGGCCAAAACCAGGAGGCCTAACTCCAGCGGGGCCGTCTGCTGCTGCTTTCCAGGGTGCGTTAGCAGGGAGCTGGATGGGAGGTGGAGGGGCCGGTCTTGAACTGGCGTTTGTACGGGATGCCAGTGTTGCTGGCAGCTGCTTAACCTGCTGTGCAGAGCACCGGCCCCGTGAGCTCACAGTTTCAGGAGAAACCACGTGGTGAGCTTTCTGCCTTCAGAGGCGAAGCCGCTGGTGGAAATGAGCCAAGTGAACACTTGCCGAAATCCTGTCCTCAGTGCGTCAGAACTGCTGTGGACAGTGAAAGAGAACTGGTCACGTAACTTTCAGAACCTGCAGTTTCTGGAAGTAGTACTTCAAGGAGAGGGAAGGTGATCGAAATCTGGTGGCACCATGAACTGGGAGGAGTCTCAGAGTAGAGAGCCACAGGGGCCCTAGGGAGTCGCAGCAGCAGGTGCCGACGGGGGAGAAGGTGAAGTGTGTGCGCTTGTTCAGCAGGTGCCGACGGGGGGAGAAGGTGAAGTGTGTGCGCTTGTTCTGCAGGCCGCCAGCTCTGTGGACGCCGAGGACGGGCTGAGGTTCATGCAGGAGATGATCGAGCTGTCCAGCCAGCAGCAGAAGGAGCAGCAGCTGCCGCCGCGGGCGGTGCAGATCGTGTCCCACCCGTTTTTTGGCAGGGTGGTGTTGACTGCGGGCCCCGCTCAGTTTGGGCTGGATCTGTCTAAACATAAAGAGGTGTGTACACTTAAAATGCAGACGTCCCTTCAGTATGGGAGGTATCTCCTGTATTCTGGTTTTATTGTTAATGACCTGAGTATTTGGTCTCCTGGAGTTAAGTGAAACAGAAGCGTATCTTGACATTGTGGTCATAGTTTACGTCTACAGACTGTCCACTAGGTCTCTTCACTGATTCAGTGACTTTACCTAGAAGTGGATGGGAGACTCTAGCGACAGCCACATCCTTTCTTTGAACAGAAAAGTGACTGAGCTCAGTGTGGAGCCTGGCACGGTTTCCAGCCCACGCTGTGGCCCACATGGCTGTGGGGAGCGGGACTCAGAGGCTCAGGTGAGCTCATTGTGGAGGCCTCCAAGGGAGTCGGTCCCGGTGGCGGCGTCGGGAGCAGTGGCCAGCACAGCCCCGCCATTGGCAGGTTCATGTGCCTGGCCGAGTGCGGGCGGCGGCCGGAGCCCAGTGTCCTGACCATCAGAAGCCCGTGGTTTTTCCACTCTGTTTCTCCTACTGTGAACGTTTCCTAATGTGTGTTCTGAAAGACGGTAGCTTTATAGGTTGATTGGTTCGCGTGACAGCCAGTTACTGGGTGCCTGCTGTAGGTTCCAGTGATGGTTTCAGACTGGCTGCAGCTTCACCCTCGTAACAGGGAGCCTGAGCAACCGAGCCCCGGCCTCCGTCTCCCTACGTCAGGTGGAAGTAAAGCTGTGTTCTTCTGTGAGGGTAGTGTGAAGACCAGGTTCCCCAGCTGCAGGAGCGCTCTGCACGTGCTGACTGGCCTGCGTTGTGCAGACTGTTCCAAGCAGTTCATGCTGTGTTATTGGGACTGGTAGAAAAATGGGCTCGTGTGCTGTTTTTTTTTTTTTTTTTAAGATTTATTTATTTATTTGAAAGAGTTATTCACTCCCCAGTGGCTACAATGTTCAGGATTGGGCCAGGCTGAAGCCAAGAGCTGGGTGCTTCTTCCGAGTCTCCTACGTGGGTGCAGGGGCCCAAGCACTTGGGCCATCTTCTGCTTCCTCAGGTGCATTAGCAGAGAGCTGGATCAGAAGTGGACCAGCCAGGCCTCGAACCGGTGCCCGCCTGAGAGGCAGTGTCACAGGCGGCAGCGTTACCAGCTACGCCGTGGCGCTGGCTCCTTGTGTTCTAAGTTGAGCTGTAGACCAGTGGGGTATAATGTCAAGACCATGACCTAAGAGGATAACAGACTTTCTGCATTACTTCTGTTGCTGACAGACGAGAGGGTTTGTTGCAAGCAGTAAGCCGTACAATGGGTGTTCCGAGCTCACCAACCCGGAGGCGGTAATGGGGAAAATCGCGCTGATCCAAAGGGGACAGTGCATGTTTGCGGAGAAGGCACGCAACATCCAGAACGCGGGCGCCATCGGCGGCATCGTGATTGGTGAGTGTCCTCTGTGTCTCGGGGGTGCCTGCGGTGAGACCAGTTTAGCATTTTTCCTTTTATTTTCTAAAATCTTATCAGAGAATTTGTTGCATTGTTTATACTTGATGTGTGTAGCATAAGGGGTTGGTCATCTAGTTGACTTCATAATTTCTCTGTGTCTGATGTCTTTCTCAAAGGCTTCAGTGTGGGTTTCTTTTTTATTTTTATTTTTTTTAAAGATTTATTTATTTGAAAGGCAGAGTGACAGAAAGGCAGAGAGAGAGAGAGAGGTCTTCCGTCCACTGGTTCATTCCCCAAATGGCCGCAACAGGTGGAGCTGAGTCAATCCAAAGCCAGGAGCCAGGAGCTTCTTCTGGGTCTCCCACGTGGGTGCAGGGGCCCAAGCACTTGGGCCGTGTTCTGCTACTTTCCCAGGCCATAGCAGAGAGCTGGATCGGAAGTGGAGCAGCCGGGACTGGAACTGGTGCCCGTGTGGGAAGCTGGTGCCGCAGGCGGCAGCTTTACCCGCTACGCCACAGCTCCAGCCCCATCGACGTGGGTTTCTGTACACGGATGTCAGGACCGGGTGTGTGGGGCCGTGGGGTTGACCTGGGGAACATGCGCCCAGGAGGCCCCAGAGCCCTGACGGCAAGAGGCCCCGTTGCCGCCTCACGCCACCGCGTAGCCCGGGCCCAGCTTCAGGCGTCTGTTCTGTGGGGTGTCTGAGCTCCAGTGGAATGGCACTGCACGTCCTTGGTGTGGACAGCGTGTGCGGCCGTTCTCGGCACGGTGGCACACGCAGGGGCCCGGTGCTCGCTGCCGCCAGGTTGCTGTTCCCAACTACGGTCACAGATGCCCCACGTGCGATCGCTTGGCCCACGCATTTCCTCTCGCGGGAGTTTGCTTCCTGACTTCCACAGAAAACCGCTTCTGTCCTAACAGGCAGGCGGTGACTGCCGGGGAAGCTGCGCCCGGCGTGTCCAGGAAGCAGGTTCCTGCCTCCCACAGACATTGGAGGGCTGGCCCTGCTTGTTCTCTGTGGCTTCTCCAGCAGGACTGAAATGCTTCTGGTTCCTTTGTTTCCTTTTCTTCTAATTAGGATAGACTTCCTTTCTGAGTTCAGGGTAAGTAAAATATTTAAAATTAAATAATGGGATTTATCTTGTGAAAATTCGTTTACTTAGTTCCTTTTGTGGGTTTGATGAGTGACTGTCCTGGGGACGTGCAGGACAGGTTCTGCCCGTGACTTAGATGGGCGCCTGGCGCACTGCAGACAGAGCTGCCCCGGGCAGGGCCACGCTAATCTGCAGGTTATCTGCGAGTGCTGCAGGCCGCAGGGCCCCAGGCAGGGTGTGCACCCAGACTGGACTCTCCCTCCTCCTGCTCCTTGGTCGTTGCCTACACCGTGACTGCGTTCGTGGAAGAATTGCCGCTGAGGACCGAGAGGTGCGCCGCGAGTGGGGTGTAGGTCTCAGCAGCTTGGGAGGCGGCGGCGGTCCAGCTTTCCTCAGTTCTGGGACGTCTCATTCTCACGGTGTTTCCGACATGCAGGGTTGTCCGGTCGGCCGGCTTATAGTAGCTGTTGCAGAATCCGCGCTGGGTTCCGTGGATTAATAAATAACAGATGGTGTTAAACATTTCATTTCAAAGGTTTATTTATTTGAAAGAGTTACAGAGATGAGGGGGTGGGAGAGAGAGGTCTTCCATTTGCTGGTTCACTCCTTAAAGGCCGTAACGGCTGATACTGGGCCAGGCCAAAGCCAGGAGCTTCCTCCAAGTCTCCCACATGGGTGCAGGGGCCTGAGCACTTGGGACATCTTCTAATGCCCTCCCAGGCACCTTAGCAGGGAGCTGGATTGGAAGTGTAGCAGCCGGGACTCACACCGGCACCACTGTAGGAAGTGGCTTAGCCTGCTGCGCCACAGTGCCAGCTCGGAACATTTCATTGTTAGAGACCTTTTTGCATTGTGACTGCCGTCTCCTGAGTTTTGTTGTTTCCAACGAGAAGTTCTGTTTTTCCTGGTTTTAGTTGTATATCAATGACTAAGTTAGGACTCAGATTATTATTTCAAGGGCAAGAAATACACATCGTCTTAGAAATCATTTGGTTGCAGGAGATACTGATGTGTGAGCTGACGTGGGAGAGGGAGCCTGCTCGCTGGTACAGGTGGTTATTTTCATGGAACTTGGAGATGAAGAAATACACCTATGGTTTGCCCCGGCCGTGGTACCCACGCTGTCTCTGGTCCTCCTGGGCACTCGTCTTGCCCGGCCGTGGTACCCACGCCTGTCTCTGGTCCTCTGGGCACTCATCTTGCCCTGGCCGTGGTACCCACGCCTGTCTCTGGTCCTCTGGGCACTCGTCTTGCCTGGCCGTGGTACCCACGCCTGTCTCTGGTCCTCCTGGGCACGCGTCTTGCCCCGGCTGTGGTACCCACGCCTGTCTCTGGTCCTCCTGGGCACTCATCTGCTTTCTCCTTGCATTCTGCCTCCTCTTGCTTCTTACCGGCCTGCACCCTGTAGCCACCCAGAGTGGCCGCTCAGCACCCACCTCCAGCCGAGTCTGTGGCCTCACTGCCCTCTAAACAGTCAGTGTGCCCAGTCCAGGGCCCCAGGGGGGCTGAGCGTCGGGAGGCCATCCTTGGCCAGGTCAGAAGGCAGGTCCTAGTGTATCGAAACCGTACAGCAGAGCTGGGAGAGCGCCGGGGAGTTTCTGCAGGGAGACTGGCTTGTGAGAGCGCAGTGGCCGTCTTGGCGTCTCCAGTCCAACAGTGCTTAGCAGGTGCTGCTAGTGTCTAACAGTGTAAGATAACACGACTGTGTCACTCAGCTTACGGAGGAAAAAGCAGTGTAGTCATAATTGTTCTTTGTGAGAGTTACATTAAAAAGAACTGTCAGTTTGCAGCTTGATAAAGTCAGATATAAGCTGGGGGTCTCTTATCCGGAATGTTCAGCGTGAGCAGTGTTTCAGGTTGGGGAGTGTTTGCATAGATGTCACCAGCCGAGCACCCCTAATCCGCAGGGCCCCTCAGCCCGGGAGAGGTCCTGCACATCAGCAAAGACCACTTCTGTGTTCTGTCACGGTGGTCCAGGTCCTTGCACTTCTCCACTGCGGGCTTTTCCGTAAGCATATGAAATTTTTTAGTCATAGTCGTAGAATTTTGTGTTCTGCCTCTGTCACGTCTTATTACATCATTCTCTTTTCTTGTGTGTTTCTTCGGGTGGTTTGTTAGAGTTCAAGTAGACCTGTAAGGTTCACCGTTCAGATGTGAGAGCAGTCAAGTGAACGTCTTTGCGCCTCAAGCTTTTTCTTACCTCAGAATGAATTTCTAGGAGAATTAGCAGGCACCGAAAGCGAGGTTGTCTGCACGGTCTTCGATGCGTAGCAGTGAGAGCGGCGCACGGAGGGTCTAACGGCCGTGCCCCTCTGTCTAGATGACAACGAGGGGAGCAGCAGCGACACCGCACCCCTGTTCCAGATGGCGGGCGACGGGAAGGACACGGACGACATCACCATCCCCATGCTGTTCCTGTTCAGCAAGGAGGGCAGCATCATCCTGGACGCCCTGCGGGAGTACGAGGAGGTGGAGGTGCTGCTGTCGGACAAGGCCAGGGACCGAGGTGAGCCGCCGGTGCTGGGCGCAGGTGCGGGGCGCGGCGCTCGCTGTGCACACGGGCACTCCACAACACACTTGCTTCCCAAAATCAGAGCAGGAAAAGGTTTTCTGCTGAGGTAGGGTGTTTCTGGAAGGGCATTTTTACAAGTGATGTTTGGTTTTGGCCGTGATTCTGTCCAGTTGCTAAAACTACCAGAGACGCCTCAAGAAAGCCGCTGTAACCCCGGGAGTGTTCTCCTTGAGTTCCGCCAGCACCGCGTCCGGCACGTCTGTCTGAGCGGTCAGTGCTGTAGGTTCCCCGTGTCCGGCACGTCTGTCTGAGCCGTCAGAGAGCGCTGTAGGTTCCCCGTGTCCGGCACGTCTGTCTGAGCCGTCAGAGAGCGCTGTAGGTTCTCTGTGTCCGGCACGTCTGTCTGAGCGGTCAGCGCTGTAGATTCCCCGTGTCCGGCACGTCTGTCTGAGCGGTCAGCGCTGTAGGTTCCCTGTGTCCGGCACGTCTGTCTGAGCGGTCAGAGAGCGCTGTAGGTTCCCTGTGTCCGGCACGTCTGTCTGAGCGATCAGTGCTGTAGGTTCCCTGTGTCCGGCACGTCTGTCTGAGCGATCAGTGCTGTAGGTTCCCCGTGTCCGGCACGTCTGTCTGAGCGGTCAGCGCTGTAGATTCCCCGTGTCCGGCACGTCTGTCTGAGCGATCAGTGCTGTAGGTTCCCCGTGTCCGGCACGTCTGAGTGGTCAGAGAGCGCTGTAGATTGGTGCTGCGCCCAGTCTCGTGACTGTTGTGCGGGTGCAACGCCTGTAGGGTGCTCAGTCCCCTGGCCCTGGGTGTCCTGAGTTACCCAGCACGCCCTGGGCAAGGGAAGGCCGCTGGGAAGGAGGAGACGAGGCTGAGGGCCTGTGGGTGGCCGTGCTCTGTCTGTCTGTCTGTCTCTCACTCGCCATCCCCCAGTGGTTGCACAGGGCGGGTCCATCCCTGGGGCTTTGACAGATGTGTGGGCAGCTGGTTGAGTCCCGTCTGATGTCCCGGAGGGGCCTCTCTAGAAACACAGCCCCGTGGTAGCCTGGTGCTCGCCTCGGGCGTGTTCTGTCTTCCGTGTGGTTTTCCTCTTCTTTGAGACTCCCTGAAGTGTCGGACTTTTCAGAACCCGCGGCGGGGTGCGGCGTGTGTAGGATGTGCAGATGGAAGCAGAACACACGGGGGTCCGAATCTTCGGAAATCCCCGCTGCTCCCGCTGCTCGTTTTCTGAGCTCCAGTCTCATTTCCTACACAGGAGGGAACTTCAGAAATTGGTGGAGAAAGTGGAATTGAAAGATAAGCTCTATTTTAGTGCCAGACCTGTTGAGATCCACGCACACACGGGGTCCCAGAAGCTTGTGGAGTGGGTGTTGTGAAGAGAACTGTGCATGGATCTCTAAATGTTTTGGCTCCAAATAAGCTTCCCTTTGACTTCCATGCTTCTGCAGATGTCTGAGTGCCCTCCTTGTGGGTTCCGGGTCTGAGTTCCCGCGTCCAGGTGCACGTCAGACACAGGCAGGTCATCGTCATTCTGTGAACGTCTTTAACGCCTTTGCTTTTTTCCCTCCTGTTTTGTGCTCCCATTGGAATGTCAGCAGCAATATTGAAAGGTAAAATGATTCCAAGCTACATTATTAATAGTAGTAAGTATCTTGCATTAATAAGCCTTAAATCACATATGTGCATATGCACACACATACACATATAATTTTGTGTTGGTGGATACCATGATAACATTTGGACTGATGTGTCACAGTGTTGCTTCGACATTGACTGCATTGGCTGCCTTTTCCTGAACACCGTGTAGAGTACTTGAGAAAGCTCCTAAGCGTGTGCTGAGGTGCGTGGGGTTGGCATTGCCGGATTACAGCGAAGTGTGTGCCTCCACGCCAGAGAGAGGGTGTGAGGAGGCCGTCCGCTCTGCTAGAAGCAGCATCAAGGCAGCTATAAATTCTGTTTTTAAACAAGTGTAGGTGAGGCCGGTGCCACGGCTCACTAGGCTAATCCCCTGCCTGCGGCGCCGGCACACCGGGTTCTAGTCCCGGTCAGGGTGCCAGATTCTGTCCCAGTTGCCCCTCTTCCAGGCCAGCTCTCTGCTGTGGCCCGGGAGTGCAGTGGAAGATGGCCCAGGTCCTTGGGCCCTCACCTGCATGGGAGACCAGGATAAGCACCTGGCTCCTGGCTTCGGGTCAGCGCGGTGCGCCAGCCGCGGCAGCCATTGGAGGGTGAACCAGCGGTAAAGGAAGTCCTTTCTCTCTGTCTCTCTCTCTCACTGTTCACTCTGCCTGTCAAAAAAAAAAAAAAAAAAAAAAAAAAAAAGTGTAGGTGGTCCATCAGTTTACTGAAGTGTGATTCTGTCACGGGGGGAGGGGGGTTTTTAGATAAACAGCCCCTTTGAGAATCCCCGTCTGTGATAACTTCCGAGAACTGTACAGCCGTGCTAAGCCTGCCCCGAGTTGTAGCGTCGTTAACGTTTCTCTGGGCGGCAGGAACCAGTGAGTGTAGCTGTAGAGTAAGTCAGTGCTTGACTCCCTTAGCATCCCATCGGGAAAGGTGAAGGCTGTCTTGGTTCCCATGAGGTGGTCCTGCCCACTGCTGTGCGCGGGGCCCGCTGAGGGGCTTGGGAAAGCAGGCACCGGCAGTGTGGAGTGCCTGTGTCAGGTGGGCCCAGACTCAGGTGTCACCCTGTGCCCCAGGTGCTTGGGACACACCCAGGGCTCTCCTGTCCATGCAAACACAGCAGCACGCCCTCCGGATCACGCGTGGGAAAGTCACCTTCCACACAGTGCTGACCGAGCAGACCTCACACAGATAGCACAGAAAGAGAAGCTCCCCCGGACCCCACCCGACCCCCGTACGCGCGTCCAGTTCTGAGACGTCCCAGCCGCGTGCAGCAAGGGCGCACCCAGAGCAGGGTTTGCCCCACGCTCCTGTAGGAGTTGAAGCGCTAGTGATTTCTCGCGGCAGCGCGGTGACAGCTCTGCTCCCAGTCCCGAAGCGTCAGTGATGACCCCAGCCGTGTCCTCCAGCCACAGACGCCTTTAGCCGGTGGAGGTGGCCTGTGGTGAGTGGTTGCTCCGCGGGGTTCTCACAGGGCGGCCGTCGGCAGCGTCAGGTTCCGCGTGTGGCCGTGCTCGCTCCGGGGCCACCCCGGGTGTGTGCTGAGGAAGGAACTGCCCCCACCTGAAGCCGGGCAGTGACTTTTCCTCCGATTGTCCCCGCTGACCACGGTTGTGTGACTGCCTGGGGCTGAGCTGCAGACTGCAGTTGCCACTGGAAGGGATTAGCTCGCAGGAGAAACCTGGCGCGTGTGCGCGTGGGCTCCTTGCACGGAGGGGAACGCAGGACTCCCGTGTCAGCAGTGCAGGGCCTGCTCCGCGTGCTCTCGCCCCCTGCGTTTGTCCCCCCGCCTCACTGCCCACACCCACTCCCTGCTGCTCCTCCAGCCCCGAGGTGCAGCCCGCAGCGTCCGGGCGAGGCAGCTCTGAGAGGCCCCTGTGGCTGACCTCACCCCGCGGTTGCTCCCTGCTACCCAGTGAGCGGGGAGGCCGTCCACCTGCACAGCCTCTTTCTCTGCACAGTTTCCTGGAGTCTCGCTGGTCTCACGCAGCCGTCGCTGTGCGGCTTTGCTTTCATGGTGGCTACCTCGGGTGTGTGTCGTGTGGCTCCGTGAGCTTGCAAAGCCCGAGCGGCTTCCTGCGTGTGCTCCGTGTCTGACGCTTGCTCTGGGGTTGGTCTGTTGGCCCTTGATAGCCTTCCTGTCCAGTCCCGCCCACACAGTGTTGCTGTTTGGAAAAGCTTTTTTCCTTAGTTGAACAAGAGAGTGAACCTTAGAAGCTAGACAGTTCATAGGAGTAGAGCACATTGTAGGTGACCTCTTCCCTTCTGAGGTAACCAGCCCAGGAAGCGGTGTGGTTGCAGCCGCGTGTGTTCCTGGCGATGCCTTGGAGTTGCGTGCGCCCGCGGTTGCACGGGTGTTGCGGGAGAGCATACCTCACCCTCCAGAGCTGCGTCATGTGAATAGCGTGGCTGCCATCAGTTACCTGACCGTCTCACCACTGGGCATCCGAGCGACTGCTTCTCCAGGACTTCTGGCTTGTCTGCCACCCTGTGCGCTGGCGCGGGACCCATACTCCTACCCGGGTTCTTACATTTTGTTACCTGCTTCTCCAGGAGTTTCAGATTTACTAAAGCAGAATCCTGGGAGAATATGGGTCTTTTTTATTTTCCATTTGTGTTTATTTGCGTGGCACAGAGAGTCAGACAGTAGACAGAGCTCTCATTTGCTGGCTCATTCCCCAGCTGGCCACATCACCCAGCTGGGCTCCATGAGAGCCAGGAGCCGGGGCTCCGTGTAGGTTCCCAGCTGGGAGCCACCACTGCTGCCTTCCAGGGTCTGCGTCGTGCGGAAGCCGGAGCCAAGCCAGAGCCAAGCGCTGGAGATGGGGCTTTAGAATCTTATGGGTACTTCAAGTTACAACCCAGAAGAGGTTGTACCAGTTCATACCCTTCCCACAAGATGGGAGAGTACCTGTGCCCCTGACTTGCTCAGTATCGTTTCTCTCTTCAGAATGGCCTGCTAATAGGGTGTGCCGCCTCTACACAAGGCTGTGTTTCTTTTCTGGGTAACCGTGGGTGCTCTGGTCTGTGAGTGTGTGTGTGTATAACTTCTTCCTCCGTAGACTGTCTGGGAAAGACGCAGAGACGCAGGAGTGTGTGTGCGCTGTTTTCCCACCTTGTGCTCTTCTGACCTCATGCGACTTTCATTCAGAATCAGAAATATAAATATTAGTTAGTTTCTTTAAGATTTCTAGATTTCTCATTTTGCTCAAAAGATCACTGCACTTTATTTTTGCATGATATTATCCTAAATTTTCTGCAGAGCTCTGTTTTACACTTTGCTCTTTAATTCACACGGAATGTTTATCTGTGTGTTTAAATGAGGAATCTTTCAGGTATCGACACCGTTTATTAAGCCAGCATTCCTTTCTCCCCAGCTAAACTGTCATCCCTGCCGTGTGCCAAATGCTTACAGAGTTGGGTCTATTTTTGTACTTGCTCTTCTGACCCACTGATCTGTTCCGTCGTTCTTGTGCCAGTAATAAAACATGGTGAAGCTCTGAGTACATTTAACACTGACTGCTGTTAGGACTTCTCGACCTGTTGGTCGTGTGCTCTTTCACAGGACTAGTGCAGTAATTGTCTGGCTCCCACCAGAGTCGAGATAAAAAAGCAAAGAAGTGCAAGCAGATTCCTTTTGAAATCATGTTTGCAGACTCTACATGTAAATTAGGAAAATGTTGTTAAATATTCACTTTCTATCCAAGAAAATATCCGTGAACTTAATCAGAGCTTATTTTTATGGAAGCATTGTGATTTTACAGTATTCTTATGGGTCTTGTACCTCTCATAATAAATTTCTATTTGCAGTTTTATTTTATGGAAAGGATTTGTGATTGATGTCTGGCTGGTTATTGCTGTCACAGAGCGTTCTGGGTATTTGCATCATTATTCTGGCCTCCTGAGCAAGTCCCTCTATGAATTTTGTTGGTAGGATTTACTTAAGCGTGGCTTTGAGTTTTGGTATAGGAAGGATCTTCAAAAATTCATGGAAATGTGTATTATGAAAAGACTACATGGATTTCCACATTTTTGTGCACCAGAAAGGTCTCCTGTAATTCCGTTTTCCGTGAACTTGCTGCAGCTCCTCTCACAGTCATGGTCTGCAGACGCAGACACTTTGGTCTCTCCTTTCCTGCTTCTGCTGGTGTCTCTGGTTCTCCTGGGCGTGGTGGCCCAGCAGCCAGTGCCCGCTCTGGGTTTCCTGATGTCTCAGTGAGCCGTGCCTCTCCTACAGCCCAGGCGTCAGAGACGGCGTGGGAGGGTTCTGCAAGCGCCTGAGCCGGTGAACTTCCCTGCCCAGAGTGCAGGAAGGGCGCCCACCTCGCCTTCCGTTCTCCCGGGTGGGGCACCCCTCCCTCCTGTGAGTCACGGCGTCTCAGGGAGCCCACGCGTCCCCAGCCACAGGCTTCAGAACCCCACGCACCTCCGTGCGTCACGGGCCGCGGGTGCAGTCTTCCGTTCGCCGTGCTTGTGTGACTGTTGTAGATTTCTCTGTCCCCAGTGGGTCTCTGAGCCCTGCAGGCAGGCGTGGCGCTGGCTTTGCTGATGATTTTGTCCCTGGTGTGCAGAGTGGGCACGGGGACACGCTTGCCGGCTGACTCGGAGAGGCAGAGCCCCCGGCTGTGGCGTGAGTGCAGGGGTCGGTGCTGTTTGAGGTGCTCCCTGCGGGATAAATAGAACCCTCCTAGTGGCTCCGTTCTGTGCTCCTTAGGGGACGTTCAGGCCCGCAGGTCTGCAGGGCGGGTGACGGTGACTCCGTCCCGGCCGTCAGGGCCCTACGGGGGGTAGAGGTTCTGTAAGTCGTCGTGCTCCTGTCTTCGTGAAATCGTCTGATCACCCGCAGCAGCACTCCTCACCCTGAGTCTTGTCATCTGTGTCTTCCGGGTTCCTCTTCGAGGGGCAGTCACGGATGCTGTCTGAACCCTGGCGAGGCCCAGATCCAAACAGTGACTGCGTTTTAGCCTTATTGCAAATGTATAATCATTTCAGTATCATCGTGTGGCGTACAAAGGTGCTTCAAACAGTTTGTGGAAATGGAATGAAAATACAAGTTCATTTTGCTGCAAAAACATTTGAACTCTGTGGAGTTTCACTCATGATTTTTTAAAGTACCGCCTCTCGGCGTTTGCGCACACCACTGAAGTTAGCCTCCCGGGTTCTTAGGGAGACACGATTGTTTCCAGTCCTGGTGTGCTTTGCAGCATGAATGCGCAGGAATACGTGGCTGAAGTCCTCAGTCATCTTTTTGGCGCGTATGTGTACTATTTTGCAGCCACGTGGTTCTCTTAACTTTCCTCGTGAATAACGTACAGTCCAAGCACAGCCTTGCTGGGAGGGGTCCTGGCCCGGAGGGCGCGTGTGGTGAGGTGGTCTCTCTCTCGTGCAGACCCTGAGCTGGAGAGTGAAGAGCAGCCGGCCCCCGAGAACGAGGCCCAGAATCAGAGTGCCGAGCCGCTGGCGGCGGTTCCCCAGACGGTCGGCTTGGGGGACGGGGACCCTGCCGGGGAAAGTCCCGCGCCCTCCCCGCCGGAACCGTCATCCCCTGCGGACACGCACCACGCCACCAGGGTCGGGCCCTCCGAGCAGACGTCCCGACCCACGGAGACGCCGGAGACTGCGCCTCTCGACCAGGAGTGCCCAGACGCCACGGACGGTGATCGCGGCCCACGGGAGGAACAGCCGGAGACGGAGGTCGACGGCAGCGGGAGCAGCGGCTGGGCCACGAAGGCCACGCCCATAGACTCCATATTAGCGGACTGGAATGAAGACATAGAAGCTTTCGAGATGATGGAGAAGGACGAACTCTGACCGGCCGCGGCGTCTGGGGTAGGTGCTCAGCAGGAGGGATGAACTGTGGTCCGCAGACACCCTGGTCTGCAGCGGGCTCTCCGCGGGGCGTCACGCCGGCCGGCAGGGACCCTCCTGGCTGGGATGGTTCGTTGCCCTGGGCATCTGGAGCATCTGGGTTAGACGTGGCCTCGTCTGGCCTGTCCCATCCGGCACTGCCCCTGCGGTGTTGCAGGCCAGGGAGGGAGCCAGCTGTCTGCAGTCTGTGGGAGGGGATGTGGGCCTGGGGGCCCCGGGTGAGAGCCGGGGCGGCTGCCTGTGCTGCCCTCAGGAGCCCGGGGAGAGGCCTGGGCAGGTGCGAGGTGGCCGCGCTCACTCTGGGAACGCCGTCTGTGCAGCGCTCCCGCCGCCTGACACCACGTGGCTGGAGTCTCCTCCAGTGGGGCCCTTGACACGGATACGAGGGGCGAGGCCAGTGGACCTTCTCAGTGTGTTTTCTGCAGGGAGAGCAGGCGGTGGGACCAGGGAAGGGGCGCCCCGCACGCTGCAGCACTGGGCTCCCTCCTGCCGTTGGAAGGGGAGCCAGGGAGGCACCGGACGTGGTGATGCACAAGCCCCGGGGCCGCGGCAGCGGAACCGGCCTGGCTCCCGCACAGGGTCCCTCTCGCCGTCAGCCTTACTCCACCCCCGCTTCCTCCTGCAGAGCCGGGGAGAGCTGGTCGTGGTCTCGGGCCCGGGCCACTGCTGCTTCTGCCCTTGGAAGCTCTGGTCTCCGAAGTTCCACCTACGGGGTCTGTCCGTTTTCCCTGAATCATGGTTTTGCTGTAACAAGTGCTCCTTCTGGTACGGACTGGACGGTTGGCTTTGCACGGTGGCGACTACATGCAGCCGTACGGCGCAGTGGAAGCTGTGCCATTGTTTTCTGGTTTTAGATTTTGGTGGCAGTTTGGTGCTGGCCACATTTAAGTTTCTAAGATTTTGTTGTTGATATCTGTAGGCAGCCCTGTAGATGAAATCATGACTTACAAATTTTATTTATTTTTAAGTGTCTATGAATCCGTTCTGAAGGCAGATTTGAGAGGCCTGGTTCCCTTGCTCTTGACCGGGGCGTTGTGCGGGAGCCCTTTCCTGGAGTGTGGTGCTGAGGGACTGTGAGGTCACGCGGTGCGGAGCCGGGTGCGGGTGTGTCCCGTCCGCCTGGCAGCGTGTAAGGGGTAGCACCTGCTTCCAGAGTTCCCGCGTGTCATCGGGCCGTGCGTTGCCGATCTCGGAATTACTGGGGGGGAGGGGAAAGCTCGCATGGCCAGCGTTAAACCAGACAAGCCGGGTGCTCTTCTCTCTGCCTGTGGAAGTCGTGTCCGAGGGCAGGGCTGTCGGGTGGACGGTGTGCAGCAGGGTGGACGTGGCGCGCTGTCTCCTCATCGCAAAGCTGCCCAGGGAGCTGGCGCGCGACGGCTCGACTCGGGGCGCCTAGGTTGGGGCCTGGCCGAGAGGCGGAGGCCACGGAAGCCGCGTACACGTTGATTTCATTTTACGTTTGTAGCCCCAAACCATTGTCGGCTGCTTCTGATTTTCCTGAGTTACCAAAAGCAGTTTTCCCCAGGAGACCCCGCTGGGAGCGCACGGGCGAGGCCGCGCGGCTGCTGCCCTGCCGTGCCGTCGTGGGCGTCGCCCGGCACTGCTCCCTCGTTTAGAAGGAAGCAGGGGTTCAGCCAGGTCCGTGTGCCCCCGCTGTCCCTCCCAGCCCGGCCTCCTGCCCTCACTGCCACGGAGCCACGTGGGAGCCGATGGAGTCCCCGCAGCATTAGGTGTGTTTAGTGTTCTGTGTTTTGAGTACCTTTTATAGACATTTTATTTACTTGCTAAAGATTCAGGGAGTTCTGTGAGGCCCTGAGTTTAAGAACATCTGGTCTACCTCAGTTCAGCGTTGACTGCTTAGAAGTAGAGCTGAAGTGATCACCAACAGCCATAACACTGCTTGACTAGGAGAGAGCTGTCCGTGTTTACAGACCTGCGGCGAGGGAGGGTGCCGCCTGGGAGCCCCGAGCTGGGCACTGGAGCTAGAATTGAATTCAGGTGTTTCCGAGTTTGAACCTTGTCTACCTACTCAAAGTAGTATGGCTGTAGTTGCTTTTTCGCACATGAAAGTCCACCGGAGTGTCACCCTTTCGCAGTCCTTTTCCCATAGTTTGAAACACGAAGGAATCGCCACTGATGGGCGTGTGCACAGCCGCTGCCGCCGGTGGCTTCACCAGGCTCTCGCAGTCTGCTGGTTCCAGAACCAAGGATTTCTTGACGTTTTACTTTTCCCCTTTTCTTCACAGTCTTAGTGAAATGAAAGGGTGTGCTCTCTCTGATTTTGATTTCTCCAACACAGCTACTGTCACGGATTCATGTAGATTCAGGTCCCGTCCCGCGGCCTTTCTGTCTAAGCAGAGCCAGCAGTGTCCTCTCTCCTGAGCCCTGCCAGCGCATCCTAGGAGAGCTCCCGAGCGGGGGTCAGAGTGCTTGTCCTTGGGGCTCAGCGAGCGGGATGAGTGCTTGTCCCTGGGGCTCAGTGAGCGGGCTTCAGAGTGCTTGTCCCTGGGGCTCAGTGAGCGGGATTGAGTGCTTGTCCCTGGGGCTCAGTGAGCAGGGTTCAGAGTACTTGTCCCTGGGGCTCAGTGAGCGGGATTGAGTGCTTGTCCCTGGGGCTCAGTAAACGGAGTTCAGAGTGCTTGTCCCTGGGGCACAGTGAGCGGGATTGAGTGCTTGTCCCTGGGGCTCAGTGAGCGGGATTGAGTGCTTGTCCCTGGGGCTTAGTGAGCGGGATTGAGTGCTTGTCCCTGGGGCTCAGTGAGCGGGGTTCAGAGTGCTTGTCCCTGGGGCTCAGTAAACGGAGTTCAGAGTGCTTGTCCCTGGGGCACAGTGAGCGGGATTGAGTGCTTGTCCCTGGGGCTCAGTGAGCGGGATTGAGTGCTTGTCCCTGGGGCTTAGTGAGCGGGATTGAGTGCTTGTCCCTGGGGCTCAGTGAGCGGGGTTCAGAGTGCTTGTCCCTGGGGCTCAGTAAACGGAGTTCAGAGTGCTTGTCCCTGGGGCACAGTGAGCGGGATTGAGTGCTTGTCCCTGGGGCTCAGTGAGCGGGATTGAGTGCTTGTCCCTGGGGCACAGTGAGCGGGATTGAGTGCTTGTCCCTGGGGCTCAGTGAGCGGGGTTCAGAGTGCTTGTCCCTGGGGCTCAGTAAACGGAGTTCAGAGTGCTTGTCCCTGGGGCACAGTGAGCGGGATTGAGTGCTTGTCCCTGGGGCTCAGTGAGCAGGGTTCAGAGTGCTTGTCCCTGGGGCTCAGTGAGCGGGATTGAGTGCTTGTCCCTGGGGCTCAGTAAACGGAGTTCAGAGTGCTTGTCCCTGGGGCACAGTGAGCGGGATTGAGTGCTTGTCCCTGGGGCACAGTGAGCAGGGTTCAGAGTGCTTGTCCCTGGGGCTCAGTGAGCGGGGTTCAGAGTGCTTGTCCCTGGGGCTCAGTAAACGGAGTTCAGAGTGCTTGTCCCTGGGGCACAGTGAGCGGGATTGAGTGCTTGTCCCTGGGGCTCAGTGAGCGGGGTTCAGAGTGCTTGTCCCTGGGGCTCAGTGAGCAGGGTTCAGAGTGCTTGTCCCTGGGGCTCAGTGAGCGGGATTGAGTGCTTGTCCCTGGGGCTCAGTAAACGGAGTTCAGAGTGCTTGTCCCTGGGGCACAGTGAGCGGGGTTCAGAGTGCTTGTTCCTGGGGCTCAGTGAGCGGGATTGAGTGCTTGTCCCTGGGGCTCAGTGAGCGGGATGAGTGCTTGTCCCTGGGGCTTAGTGAGCGGGATTGAGTGCTTGTCCCTGGGGCTCAGTGAGCGGGATTGAGTGCTTGTCCCTGGGGCTCAGTGAGCGGGGTTCAGAGTGCTTGTCCCTGGGGCTCAGTGAGCAGGGTTCAGAGTGCTTGTCCCTGGGGCTCAGTGAGCGGGATTGAGTGCTTGTCCCTGGGGCTCAGTAAACGGAGTTCAGAGTGCTTGTCCCTGGGGCACAGTGAGCGGGGTTCAGAGTGCTTGTCCCTGGGGCTCAGTGAGCGGGATTGAGTGCTTGTCCCTGGGGCTCAGTGAGCGGGATTGAGTGCTTGTCCCTGGGGCTCAGTGAGCAGGGTTCAGAGTGCTTGTCCCTGGGGCTCAGTGAGCGGGATTAAGTGCTTGTCCCTGGGGCTCAGTGCGCAGGATTAAGTGCTGCCCCTGGGGCTCAGTGAGCGGGGTTCAAAGTGCTTGTCCCTGGGGCTCAGTGAGCGGGGTTCAGAGTGCTTGTCCCTGGGGCTCAGTGAACATCCCAGCAAGGCTGTAGTCAGAACATAGAAACATTCTGTGAATGAGACGTTGTATGTTCAGATTTTATAAAAGCCGTTTTTAAACAAGCCCAATTTACAGCCGTATATTTTCTTATGATGTAATTTATGAAAAAGATGTCTGTTCTAACAGGTGCTCTAACACCACTGTTGTTGGGTTTTATTGTTTGGTGATAAATGTGTACAATCTTTCTATGGGAAACTGTGTACTGTGATGTAAAGTCTGGGCAAAATGTACATAATCCTTGTATATAATTGTGTATTTGATTATAATTACTGATTGTAAAGATTTAATAAAACATGTAAATACTTGGGTCTAGTTTTACTGTCTTCGATGTCCCACCCCTCTCGTTGCCCTCTGACTTCAGCGCTGGGCGGAGATTGGGGGACCGGTAGCTACAGGGCGGGGAGGGCTCTGGGCACACCTGTGTCCGTTCACGGCACGGCAGCCGCTTCCTGGCAGTGTGGCGCTGTGCTTTGTCGCCTGTGCCACCGGTCGGGGTCTGCGAGCGTGGGGTCGTGCAAGGCCCCTGGTCGGCCGCCGACCTCGCGGGCGCTTGCTGGCGATAAGGACAAGCCTCGCGCGCCCACCCCTGCCCACTGACCTTCCCGCTCTGGGACAGACGTGTGGACTGGGCGGGTCTCGGGTTCTCTGGGCGTTGGTTCCTGCTCCGTGGACCCTGACCCAGGGCACTGTGGCATGGTGACAGTGGCGCTGGGCAGGCGTGAGAGCTGGGGCTTGGCGGGGCGCCCATGGCTGAGGCTCACGCCTCCTACAGCCCGTTCGCTGGCCAAGCTCGGGCAGTTCTCTGGCCCTGTGCGAGAGCACGCTCCCCGGCGTGGCGGGAGGCCTGGGGTGCCATAGTAGGATGTGACTTCCTATGAAGACCCAGAACGGCCCCATGGCGCGCACCGAGGAGGAAGCCAAAACCCCGAGTGGACCAGGGCGTGGGCGGCCAGGGCTGCAACTGACGCCCCCCCCCCCCCCCCCGTCTTTCCTGAGCCTTCGGGGAGGGCACCTGGTCCCCCCGGGCCCCAGAGGCCAGGAGAGGCTGCAGCCGGCTCAGGCCCTGGCCCCACGCCCAAGGAGAGGAAGCTCTCCCCCGCGCCCTGCCCGCCAGGCCAGCGCTCTCACTACGTCACCGCCAGTGTCTTCCGGCCCCGCGCAGCAGCCTGCGGCTCAGCCTGATGCCCTGGCTTGGCTACATCTGTGGGAGCCCCAGGCCCTGGGTCCTGGTTTCTCAGAACCCATCACGGCCCCCGGCCTCACTTCCCACCTCAGCCAGCTCTACCTGCGCTTGCGTTGAAGTCCCTGGGCAAAGCCTTCTTAAGTGCTAAGCCCGTGTCGGGTGTGCGCCTGTGCGCCAGCCCCTCGGCCGGGCGGCATTGCCTTAAACCCGACTGAACATCTCAGGTGAGATTTGCCACGTTCCTCCCCCACGCTCCCACCAGCCGCCTGCGTGCTGAGTCCACGCGCCTCCGTGCACTTGGCCAGGACCCCCTGCGTGCCCTGGGCTGGTTCCCCAGCCTGCCTGGGTCCTGGAGACCGGGACTCCACACTTGAACCACATGGCCACCTGAGAGATGTAGGAGCCTGGGCCCCACGTGACCCACAGATGAGGGAGCCCCTGCCCTGCGCCCCTTCCCGCCCCGTGTGCCTTCCGGAACCCTGCAGGGAGAACCCTGCTGGCTCCAGTGCTGCAAGAAGGGAACGCAAATACTGGGTTCCACACGACCCAGGGATGCCTTGTCTGAGATCCCGAAACTCAGGTCTCCCGAGACCTGCAAGACACACCGACAGGTCCTTTGAGGAGAAGTGAGCTCTGTGGTACAGGCCGGCGTCACTCGTTACTTACACGGCCGGTGGCGGGCGCTGCCGTGGGCTCCCTGGGAATGGACGCAGCGGTGCAGGCCAGAACCTGTTTCCTCTGAGCTCAGTCGTCGCCTTCCAGGTGCAGACACAGATTTGCACCCTGATGCTGGAGAGAAACCCCACACAGCTGGGTGCAGACCCGTGTCTGTCGGGCAAGCTGTAAAGAAAGTATGAGACTTGGCTAAAAAGTGCAGCGCAGGGGCCGGCGCTGTGGCGAGCAGGTAAAGCCGCTGCCTGCAGGGCCAGCGTCCTGCATGGGGCCGGTTTGTGTCCCAGATGCTCCACGTCTGGTCCAGCTCTAATGGCCTGGGAAGAGCAGCAGCAGATGGTCCTAGTGCTTGGCCCCTGCCACCCACGTGGGAAACCTGGAAGAAGCTCCTGGCTCCTGGATTTGGCCTGGCACAGCCCTGACCGTTGTGGCCATCTGGGGCATGAACCAGTGCCTGCAAGGTTGGTCGGTCTCTCTCTCTAACTCTTTCAAAGAAATAATTGTTTTAAGAAAGTAATGTGCCTTCCTGCACATGGCGTCTGAATCCTTCCTGGCGGGAGTGTGCCCCGGACTGCCCAGGAGTCTGCCCGAGGCGCCTTGCCCGCCGTCCTGCAGCACTGCACTGAGACAGCTGAGCCGAGAGCAGGTGCGCTTCTGTGACTCTGGGCCGGTCACTCATCTGTTCAGCGAAGCTTGACGCGTCCCTGCTGTGGACACTCGGAGGATGTGGGTTACAGCAGTGGAGGAAACACAGAAGACAGAAAATAAGTGGTCAGTGAACAGCAAGGGATAGTGACGTCAGGGAGCAGAGTGAGGGTCCGGTCAGACCACCCAGTGAGTGCGTGCGTGTCTCTGGGTTGCAGCCCGTGGGCACTTCCTTACGTAAATGCAGCCAGGTTGTGTTCCAGAGCCGCCAGGGGGTGCCTGCTGTCGCGCGGTGCTGAGTGCTGTGTACACAGTGTTTCCCGTGTCGGCGTCCTGTGCTGAAGAGATTAACGACCATAGTATGTGTGCGTACAAGTCGAGCGAGCACCCCGTCCCCCGTAACATTGTCCCAGGAGTCCGGTTTGGCTGTCTGAGTTGGTGTCTTGTGGTAGCACAGAGAAGGGCAGACAGAAGCAGAGGTGACTGAGACAGGAAAGCTCCCACGGTGGGCAGGGGCCCCGCGCAGGGATGCTGTCGATGCTGTCGGCCAGGGGTTTGCGTCCCCTGGGCGGAGAGGAACTTTGAGTCTCTGATGCCTTCTCGTGGCTGGGGAGTGGCCGTCGGGAGCTGGACGTGTCTGCTGTCACCACATCTGTTCTGTCCTCAGTTTCTCTGTCTTGCTTGTGTGGCTGGCTGTCGGTGGGAGGAACTGTTCCCACGGGTCAGGGCACGGGCAATAAGGCGGGTCCGCCAGTCGCCTGTGAGAGGGGCAAACAGCGCAAGTGTGAAGGTGACAGCAAGCGGCCCCAGGAGAAGGAAGAGCCAGGAAGCCCGGCCCGGAGATGCTGTTCACGCCCTCGGGGGCCTGCTCACGGATCTCGCTGGTGTTGCTTCGGCCCGTCTCGAGTCACTGATACAGGCGCTGCAGCAGCACAGTGCGGTAAGTGCATGCATGACCACTGTGCTGGCGGGCTCTAAGGGGAGGTGACTGTCCCCAGCCCCCCTGACAGCCTCGTGAGTGACAGTGCAGCCCCGGCGTCTCGGTGCTTCGGAAAGTCCACTCGTGACTGTGACTGCGACCGCGTCGGGGCTTGAAGCCTCTTGGCTGGGGGACCCCCTGCGGGGCGAGAGCGGGACGGCAGCAGCTGCTCCGGCTGTGCTTGGACCAGCGGCCCTCGGGATCAGCCGTGGGAGGTGACGTCTTCAAGCTGCCAGCGGCTCTGGGGACGAAACACCTGCAAGATGCTGTCTCCTCCCTGGCAGTCGCCGTAACCATTACCGGGGCTGCCGGGGCATCAGGGATTGCAGATGCCCGTGGCCAGGGGACGCTAGGCTGGGCAGCCCCGAGCACCCGACCCCCACTGCGCTGTGGAGTGGGGGCCGTCGTCACTTTCTGGGCTCTTAGGAATTGAGATTATTTCTAAAATGATTTTTTTCACCACCTTTGTTGCTTTTCTTCAGAGAAAACCTTAGAGAATCAGGTAATCCTGTTATCTGAACTCTCTTTAATGATAATTTTTTAAAAAGATTTTATTTTTTGAGAGGTAGAGTTACAGACAGTGAGAGGAAGAGACGGAGAGAAAGGTCTTCCATTTGCTGGTTCACTCCCAAACAGCCAGAGCTGGGCGGATCCGAAGCCAGGAGCCAGGAGCTTCCTCCAGGTCTCCCAGGTGGGTGCCGGGGCCCAAGGATTGGGCCGTCTTCTGCTGCTTTCCCAGGCCACAGCAGGGAGCTGGATCGGAAGAGGATCAGAGGGGACTTGAACCAGCGCCCATACGGGATGCTGGCAGAGGATTAACCTGCTGTGCCACAGCGCCACCCCCTCTGAGCTTGTAAGACACAGGAGCTAACTGTCTTGCCTAACTGCCACACACCCTTTCCTCCCGCTCCTAAAAACCCTCCCTCGCCTCCCCCCCCGCGCGCGCGCCCTCACGCTCTCCCTCGTCCACGTCCTCTTCCCCTTCTGGCTGCTTTCGCTGCATCCTGAAACAACGCTCCAACTCACATCAGGACACAGAACACAGGATCTTACAGCAGCTTTTGAATATTCGCGGAGTTTAGTCGAAAAGAGATGCACCGTGACACCACCAGCAGAGCTGCGTCCGGCGACAGGCCCTCGGAGCTAAATGTTCCAGAGGATCACGCGCGGGTGACGAGAGGCTTGGAACAGCCGTGGGCGCAGTAACAGCTCAGCGGGTTGCAGCATCAAACCGTGTCGTTCCTTCTGGAGTTGAGGCGGACTGGTGTGCCGGGACCACTGCCCGGCTTAGAGTGACCTTGGGACCCTCGCAGGGGTCCAGCTCTGATGGGCAGAGCGGGATCCGGGGATGGATGTGTGCCCGCCGGGCAGTTACTGCGTGGCCGATTCTTCCTGCGGTGCCCAAACCTCTGGGTCTGTCTGTGTCCCTCAGGGGCAGGCAGAAGGTGGTGTCGAGGCCGGAGGGCAGTGGACAGTGGTTCCCCCGGGCCCAGGGAGCTCCTACAGGAGGGGCGTGGCCCTTCTGGAAAGATCCAAACACGCCCAGCTCAGCTCGGGGCTGGGGGATCCCTGACCAGCGACATGGGGAGGTGCTGAGGGAGGGAGGAGGGGCGAGCCGGGTGCTGCTGGCTGGGGGCGCAGGAGCCTGGAGGGGAGCCCCGGCCCCTGCAGTCCTGTCGGGTCATCCACAGAGGGGGCCCGACCCCAGAGGCCTTGGTCTCCGGGACAGTCAGCCCTGCCGTGGTCGTCCCCGCTGTAGACTGGACAGGGCCGCGGGGTTCCCCTGGTGGTGGGGCTGTGGGCACTGCTGCTCCGGGTGCCCTACGGT